AATTGGTGGACCAATTACTAGAAAAAGGCACAACAAGGCACAGTAACAGTCCATATGTCCCTCCAGTATTGCTGGTCCAGAAAAAGGATGAAACTTGGAGATTATGCACTGATTACAGGCATTTAAACGAGTTGACTATGAAAAACAGGTTCCCAATTCCTATTATTGAAGAAGTGCTAGATGAATTACAGGGAGCTAAGATCTTTTCTAAGATTGATCTAAGAGCCGGCTATCATCAAATCAGAATGAATGAGGATATGTCTAATACTGCATTTCAAACACATCATGGCCACTTTGAATTCCTAGTGATGCCTTTTGGTTTCACAAATGCTCCAGCTACTTTTTAAGCCTTAATGAACCAGGTATTCAAATGATACATCAGAAATTTTGTGTTAGTTTTCTTTTATGATATCCTGGTTTACAGTATTTCGGTTGAAGATCATATCACTCATTTATCTTTAGTTTTGGAAACTTTGAAACAAAATGAGTTGTTTGCTAAAAGAAGTAAGTTTACATTTGCTCAAATATCCATAGAGTATTTGGACACATTATTTCAGAAAAAGAAGTGGAAATGGATAATGAAAAGATTGTTAGTACTGTAGAATGGCCAATTCTAACTTCTGTCAGAAAGTTAGGAGGATTTTTGGGTTTAGCTGGATATATAGACGGTTCATAAAAGGGTTTGGGATTATTAGCAAACCACTAACAATGTTATTGAGGAAAGAAGCATTTCAATGGTCTTCACATGATACTATTGCTTTTGAGAAGCTCAAGGAGGCCTTATCTACTGCACCAGTGCTTAGGCTTCTAGATTTCAAGCTACCATTTGTTGTGGAAACGGATGCATGTGACATAGGTATTGGAGCTGTACTAATGCAAGAGGGTCACCCAATAGCTTACCTCAGTAAAGCTATCACTCCCAAAAATCAAGCAATGTCTATATATGAGAAGGAACTCTTTGCCTTGGTAATGGCCATAGATAAATGGAGCCACTATTTGCAAGGACATCACTTCATCATTAAGTCTGATCATCAAGCCCTCAAGTTCCTTTTGGAACAAAAGATCACCACCAACATGCAGAAGAAATGGTTGTCCAAACTGCTTGGCTTGGATTATGAAATACAGTACAAAAAAGGAAAAGACAAAAACATTGGTGCTGATGCACTTTCCAGAAGATCGCATGAAGAAGAAAACACTGTAAATCTCAATGCCATATCCAGTGTCACTTCATTATGGATCCAACAAATTGAAGCTAGCTATGTGGATGTTGAAAAGGTCCAGCAGATGATTGCAACAACTTCATTAGATCCTGGCAATTAACAAAAACTGCAATATGTTCAAGGACTGCTTAAGATGAATGGAAAGATATATGTGGGTTGTAAAACTAACATCAGGCATAAATTATTGGAGACTTTTCATTCCTCACCTTTAGGGGGGCACTCAGGGCAAAAAGCTACCTATCACAGACTAAGAAACCTTTTTGTGTGGAATAAACACAAAGCTGAAGTTGATGACTTTGTCAGATCATGTGTGATTTGTCAACAGCATAAGGGAGAGCATCTGCCCTATCCTGGTTTACTGCAACCCTTGGACATCCCACAAGAAGCTTGGAAAAGTATATCAATGGATTTCATTGATCAGCTGCCTTCTTCTGTGGATGGTTACACTTCTATTTTGGTGGTGGTGGATAGATTGACTAAATACAGTCACTTTATACCACTCTCTCACCCTTATACTGCCAAAAGCATTGCTGAGATCTTCTTTAAGGAAATATTCAGACTGCATGGAATGTCTGATAACATCATCAGTGATAGGGATAGAATATTCACTAGTCACTTTTGGAAGGCCTTGTTTCAAGCTATGGGAGTTAAGTTGAATACGAGTACTGCTTATCACCCACAAACAGATGGGCAAACTGAAAGAGTAAACCAATGCTTGGAAGCATATCTGAGATGTTTTTGCAGTACCACCCCCCAACACTTGGCCTTCTTAGAGGGTGCTAGCTGAATGGTGGTACAATACTTCATTCCATTTCAGTGCTAACACCACCCCCTTGAGGCATTGTATGGAACAAAGCCTAACAACATCCTATCAGTCCATCATCATTCCAGCAGCTACTGACATGATGGAACAGAAAGTCAAGGTGATGGCCACTCTAAAGGAGAGTTTGATGAAGGCTCAACACAGAACGAAATTCTATGCTGATCAAAAGAGGATTGAAAGGACTTTTTAGGAAGAAGATTGGGTGTATTTGAAGCTTCACACTCACAAACAAAATTCATTGGTGTTTAGAGCTTATCCAAAATTGTCAGTAAGGTACTATGACCCCTTCAAGTTGTTAGAAAGGATTGGAAATGTAGCATATAAGTTACAGCTTCCACCTCACTCCATGATACACCCCGTATTTCATGTATCTTTGCTAAAGAAACACACAGGTTCTATTTCAAAGACCCCAGCTGAGCTGCCTGATTTGTCTGATGATCAAGAAGGTTCAATGGTTCCTGAGAAGGTACTCCAAAGAAGATTCATAAAAAGAGGTGATCAAAACGTGGTACAGTGACTGATAAAATGGAAGAACTTCAACATTGAAGACTCATCATAGGAGGACAGCATCAAGTAATTTTCATCATTCAAGACTTGAGGACAAGTCTTATTTCAACAGGAGGCACTGTCATGGAATGCTTAATTTTAATTATTTAGGATTTTAATTAATTAATCAATATTTTAGAAGAATTTCAGTAATAGTGTCGTTTTGATCAGGCGATCAAGTCACCTGCCATGCACGCCACCTTGGAGATGAAGTTTCCTGAAAAAAGCTGTTACTTTGTCATCTTTTGGGAGCGTTTGTAGCTGATCATGGTTAGGGTTAATTGTAGTTAGCAGGATTGATATAAGGAGAGGGAAACCAAATATATTGGTTATGCAAAATGATGAATGAAGATTCCTCTTTATCATTTTCTGTCATCACCTTCTGAAAATTTATCTCTCCTTCTTTCTCTTTCTTTCCTCTTTTCTGAAACTTGCTTTTCTGTTTTCCTTCTTTCAATTTCAGTTTGCCTTCATATAGAAATATCCTTAATTAAATTATCTAAACCATTACATCTCATTAACTAGCTACTGGCCCATTTGAATCCGATTTCTTCCGAAACTATTTTCATGGGCCGTGTGCCATTTACATTTTGATCAGCTTGGGTCAATTGGAGACGTAATCTGAAAGAACTCTCTCTAATATGGTGGCCGGCAAATCAAGAATGGAAAATAGGAAAGTGGTGTGTTTTGACATCATTTTAGAGAGTAGTAGTTAGAAAACATGCAACAACTTAATGAAAATTTATGTTGTGGTGTCATCCACTTAATGGTTCAATTTATTGATCCAAAAACACGAATGATTTTCGCGTGAACCAAATTTGTGATTTAATGATTTTGGATCATTGCTCTGGAGTATATTACCGTCTGTCTCACAATTCAACAGTCATTTTTTCTTTTCTAACATAAACATAATTGGTTGCCAATGTCACTTTTGTAATTATTATATTATATATTATTATTTTGGAAAAACCACAAAAAATAAACCAAACAAAGCCTTTATTTTCTTATTATTAGTACTACTTCCGTTTTTTTTGTCTGTCGCTTTAGAGTTGCACAACTATTAAGAAAACAATAATTGAGAGTTTAATTTATAAACATATTGTCTTTCTTACCCTTAATTAAAAGTATTGGAACTCTAACAATTTTGAAATTGAAGTAAAAGAGTAAATAGTTACATTAATATATGTTATTAAAAGTAGACAGAGATAAAGATAAAATTAAAAAAATTGTATTTAATATTACATTAGAAATGAAATATGATAGATAAAAAAATACTTTGAGTTCACCACAGATTAAAAAAATGGAGGTAATACCTTTTATTTCGGGACAAAAACTTCGCAAACGTTCTCTGTTTGTTTTTGTTTTTTTTTTTTTTTTGTTTTTTGTTTTTTGTTTTTGTTTTTGTTTTTTGCTATTTCAAAGTGGCAACATTACAATTTACAAGAGGCCGCAACAAGTTTTTGGGATAAGTCAAAGTTTGGAGTCAGCTTTTTCCAGTTTCCCTCTCGAAAACATAAAAAATAATGCTCTTCTGTATTCCACATCCCCCAGTACTACACAGACTAGACTTCTTCCTCTCTTGAGTTCCCACTTCTTCTTTTCTTTCCCCCTTCTCTCAAAATGGAAACTTTCTCATTAATTAATGCTAATGCATAAAACCCCAAAAATTTCCTTCTGAGCTTAATTTCCATGGCCTTAAAGTTCCCTCTTGATTTTCTGCCAAAATTCTAGTGATTTTCCTTTGTTCCTTTCTTGTATCCTGGTATATACTATTATGCACTTCTTTGGCTGCACTTCATCCCTTATTTGCCGCTTCTTCATCTTCCCTTGAAGGATCACCGCCTCCCCCTTATCCGGCATTGGAACTAACTGATTCAAGTCCCACAGCATTATCTCGGGTAAAAAGGGTATGTAATTTTAACTCTAAAAAAAGGAAATCTTTCTTACCCTGTGAAGAATTATGTTTATGTTATTCTTTAGTGAGATTTTTTCTAGGTTTTGTTCGTGTTGTGTTGTGCCTAGAAAATGCGTTGCCTCGAGTGATTCTGCGAGATTTTTTTTTCCCCTACTCCTTATGAAGTGGGGCATGAGTTGTTGAAAAGTTTGAATTTTTAATGGCCGTTTCAATGCTATTTGTTCAACTATGTTCCAAACATTGAAGTTTAGTTTTTTTTTTTCCCTTTTAAAAGTTAAAATATCTGCTGGGATCTTCCTAACTTTAATGAATAGTATGGATTAGTTTTCTTTTCATCTTTTTGGAGTTTTTGATTAACGAATAAGGCCATTTTTGGCCTTCCCCTTACTTGTTTATGGTGCCCTGTTGTGCATATTTAATTTAATGCTCCCTCAGGCTTGATTGCTTTAGCTTCTTTTGTTGTCTGATATGTGCTTGATTTGTTAGCAAAGAAACAATGGATGCCAAGCCTAAAGCTTCGCAGAACAGTGGAGAAATTAGCATGGTAGGAAACAAGAAAGCTTCTGAAGAAGTTATTGTAACGATTTCTGAAGATGAAAAAGATCCCAAGAATTTGCGTCCTGATGCTTCAAAGGATCAAAGGTCTAAACTTGCTGCTGATTCACCCGCGAGGGCTTCGAATGGTTCTCCCAGAAGCACACAGAAAGTGGCTTTTTCGTCCCCTGAAAATAGCAGCTATAGTCCGAGTCCCAACAAGCCACCCAAAATTCCCACAACTGACACCCTCACTAGGAGAAAAACGCTTGCAAGGTCTTTATATTCGAAACCGAAATCGAGGTTTGGAGAACAATCTGTGCCTGTTGATGTTAATGCCAATGATGAGGTTCAAGAACAGGTGGAAGCAAGTTCGACTTCGCCTTATCGAAATGTATCTAACCAGGCTTCGCCTATCAATGGGACTGTTTCTAGTCGCACTAACTCTGTTAAAGAGACTGTCAGGGCAATACCGATAACCCCCAAGACACCATTGATGGCGTCACCTGGTTTTGGAGGAGTGGATGAGGATGAAGAGATTTATAAGAAAGTTAACATCCGAAATAAATTGAGGTACAAAAGAGTCAAAGCTAAAGTTTTGGTTGAGTGGTTTGTGTTTTTATGCATTTTGGGATGTCTCATTGCTAGCTTGACTGTTCATAAGTTGAGACATTGGACAATGTGGAGTTTGGAGATTTGGAAGTGGTGTGCTCTCGTGCTGGTGACAGTTAGTGGCTTGTTATTTACTAAGTGGTTTGTTCTTTTTGTTGTGTTACTGATTGAATTGAACTTTTTGTTGAGGAAGAAGGTGTTGTATTTTGTGTATGCTTTGAGGAAGAGTGTGCAGGTCTGTCTTTGGTTTGGCGTGGTTCTTGTCACTTGGATTCTGCTATTCAGAAAAGATGTCCAACGATCACATCTTGCTACCAAGATTTTGGATTACATTACATGGACAATAGTGACTTTGCTTATTGGGGCGGTCTTGTGGCTCATAAAGACTTTGCTACTAAAGATTTTGGCTTCTTCATTTCATGTCAATGCATTTTTTGATCGAATTCAGGAATCCGTCTTCCATCAGTACATTTTGCTTACGCTGTCTGGGCCGCCGGTAATGGATTCAGCTGGTATGGTTAGCAGAACAAATAGTAATACCAGTCAGTTTAGCTTCCGAACAACAAAGGTTGGGAAAGATGGAAAGGAAAAGGAAAAGAAAGAGGTGATTGACATGAATAAGCTTCATATGATGAAGCGAGAAAAGGTATCTGCTTGGACCATGAAAATGTTAGTGGACGTGATATCTAATTCAGGATTGACTACCATTTCAAGTGCACTGACTAGCAGTATCTACGATGGGGCAAATGAGCAATCATCAGAGGAAGAAATTACTAATGAAGAGGAGGCGATTGCAGCTGCATATCACATCTTCAGAAATGTTGCCCAGCCCGGTTGCAAGTAAGAAGCCTTTATATTTATACTTACTCTGTCATCTTTATTTTATGTTGATTTTAGATTTTAGGTTTCCTCGTTGGCCGTTTGTGAATGTGCACTATAATGTTAAAGGTACATTGATGAGTTGGATTTGAGGAGATTCATGATTAAAGAAGAGGTGGATCTTGTCTTCCCAATGATAGATGTGGCCGAGACTGGGCGTATTGACAGAAAAGCTTTGACTGACTGGGTGGTAAGTAGAAATATTTTTTCCCCAGATTGGGGCTACTCCCTTCTTAATACCTCCTAGGTTGTAACCTTTCCTTTTTACAGTCTGATACAACACCAGAACTTGTTTATCTGTTAAGTGTGCTTGCAAAAGAGGTGAAAGTGTGGAATCTTGCAATTAGTGTCTTTCAAAAGTTTTAAGATATAATTTCAAAGTTATGCAGTACACGACCTTGTTATTGCATCATGTTCAAAGAAACTTGTGGAACGGTTAATCAGAACAATAGTCTTGATTTCTGAATATAACTTAGCCAGATCAAGCTAATGAACGGCCTGATGATTTGCATTGTTGATTCATAGATTTCATTAAGGAATTGACTCCTTTTGCTCTTGTTTCTGATAGTGGATCAGGAAGTCGATCTATTTGTTACAGTTTTGCATGCATTATTTCAGGTGCAAGTTTACAATGGTCGTAAAGCATTGGGTCATGCTTTGAATGACACGAAAACAGCAGTGAAGCAACTGAACAAGCTCGTAACTGCAGTCTTGATCATTATTATGATTATAGTGTGGCTTCTCTTATTGGAAATTGCAACAACCAAAGTTCTTCTCTTTATGTCATCCCAGCTTGTAGTAGCTGCTTTTATGTTTGGGAACACTTGCAAGACAATATTTGAAGCAATTATCTTTGTGTTTGTGATGCACCCTTTTGATGTTGGTGATCGCTGTGTCGTTGATGGTGTGCAGGTAACTTAATTGATCTGTTTTTTCTTTCTTTGATTAAATATGCTTTTTTAATGGTACATACTATATTCTGTTTTTACAGATGATAGTTGAAGAGATGAATATCTTAACAACAGTGTTTCTTCGCTATGACAATGAGAAGATATTCTATCCAAATTCAGTTTTGGCTACCAAGCCAATTAGCAATTTTTATAGAAGCCCCGACATGGGTGATTCATTTGAATTCTCCATTGATTTCAAGACTCCTCTAGAATTAATTGGTACTTTGAAAGAGAAGATAAAGATGTAAGTCTGGCCATATTCCTTCTTTTCCATCTTTAGTTTGCCTTGTCAGTTGCTGTAATGCAGTTATTAAATTGCTGTAATTATTCAGGTACTTAGAAAGTAATCCATCGTATTGGCATCCGAATCACAATGTGGTGGTAAAAGAGATTGAGAATGTGAACAAAATCAAGATGGCTCTCTTTTTCAATCACACAATGAACTTCCAGAACTTTGGGGAGAAAAACAGAAGAAGATCCGAGCTGGTTCTGGAGATGAAGAGAATCTTTGAACAGCTGAACATCAAGTATGACCTGCTCCCACAAGAAGTCCGTCTTGTTGAATTGCAGTCTAGAGCAATGGCAACTGGAATGACCAGATGAGGAACGGACACCTTTCATGACGGCTGACTAAGTCATACAATTGATTTGAGGTTACTGATCACATAACTACCGTACTTTCACTAGTATTATGACAGGTTAGTTTGCATGTTAACTCGTTAGAAGCGGTTTTTGACACCCTTCATTGAGGTGGAAAAGATAGTGTAATGACTTCTCTAGACTTCGGAAGTAGACTCTGCTCAATTATCTGATGTAGTTTAGCTAGAACGGAGGTATTAGAAATGAATTTTAGGATTATGATGTACATTGACCTTTAAAGCAGAGAAATTAGCATATGATGGTTTTTGTGTTTGAACTTCAAAGCGAAAAAACCAAATGAATATGACTATGAAAGACAATTTATGTCCGTCCTCTCTCTTGGCGGCTGTTACACTCCAGCTCTGGAGATTACATATATTTTGCATTGACCATTTTCACCATCATTTTTCTCCTGTTTTTTAATCACCGAGGTTGTTAATAACGTTGAATACTTACTGCATTTTCACATTTAAAAATGGAGAATTTCTTCCATGTAAAACTGGGAGTCAGCGGGTTTCCAGCTGCTCTTGAAGATCATAAAATAGTACCAGACACAAAACACAACATCGTACTACTCTACATTATTTTATTTTCTTCTCAAACTCTCTTCCTCGATTATTCACAACGTTAATCTCTTCAAGAACGAAAGTTTATTGAAGCCATCACTGAAACATTAACTTTAACTTTGTTGAAATTTGCAAATATTACAAGATTTATTCTTTTATTGTTAAAAATTTTGGAAGGATATGGCAAACTCTATTTGACAAAATAGACAGTCTGAACAAGACGCATGTGAAATGTTCTCCTATTAGCCATACCTGGCCGTGTAAGAGCTCAGTTGTTTAATGAAAAAAGATCAATACTTTATTATTATTTTTTTATGTATGCAGTTCATTGCAATTTCACTGCTTTTCTATATATATGCAGTGCTTCATTGCATTATTTTCCCCCCTTCGGCATCTTCCTCTCATCCCCTTGAAGGATCACCGTCTGTTCTGTTCCTTTTCTCACCAATGAGCTGACAGCATTCCATTTGGAAGGAAAAAGAAGAGATTCCCTTGGGAAGAAAGGTATGTTATCTTAACCTGAGATCATTTGTTCAAGAAATCATTTTTCAGTGAAATGGGATTATGATTCTTCTTGTTGTTGTTTTTGGAGGGATTCTTCTTGGTTGTAGTTTGCTTCTCCAAGCTTAGAAAAGTGTTGGCCCGAGTGGATTATTGTTATATTGTGCAAGATTTTATTGTTCTGTTCGTATGTGCGGTTTTCTACTGAGAAATGGGATTGATGTAGAGATTGAAATTTTATTTTGCATTTGCTATGCTATTTGCTCAGCTATATTCTCACACATATAGTTTAGTTCTTTTTGCTGTTTTAAGATTTCTGCTGGGATCCTCATTTCTTTGCTCAAAAAAGGGAACTTCACATTTTTAAATTTCTAGATGGAAAAAAAAAGAGCCACTTTTGCTTTCCTGCAATTTACTACTATGATCTGTTCATTTGGCCCTCAGATATAGAACGCCCGGCTTATTTTTTTCACGTTCATGAATTTGTAGGAGAAATCAATGGATCCCAAGCCTAAATCTTCCAAGAACAGTGGAGAAATAAACATGGTAGGTAACAAGATAGCATCTGATGACGAAGTTATTGTAGTGATTTCTGAAGATGAAAAAGATCCAAAGAGGATTCCAAAGCCTAAACTTGCTGTTGATTCACCTGCGCGAGTATCTAATGATTCTCCTAGAAGCACACCAAAAGCAATGACAGTTACTTTTTCTTCCCCTGATAATACCAGGTTCATTGGAAGCCCCCATAAGCCACCCAGAATTCCCAGAGCTGACAGCCTTACTAAGCGAAACACACTTGCAAGGTCTCTATATTCAAAACCCAAATCCAGATTTGGGGAACAACCTGTACCTGTTGATGTTAGTGCAATTGATGAGGGGCAAGAACACGTGGAACTGAGTTCGAGTTCCCCTTACAGAAATTTATCTAACCAGGGTTCACCTATCAATAAAATGATCCCTAGTCGTACTAACACGTTGAAGGAGACTGTTAGGTCAGTACCTATAACCCCTAAGACGCCGTTGATGGGAACACCTAGTTTTGGAGGAGTGGATGAGGATGAAGAGATCTATAAGAAAGTAAGCATTCGGAACAAACTGAGATACAATAGGATCAAAGTACGAGTTTTTGTTGAGTGGTTTGTGTTTTTTTGTGTGTTGGGATGTTTTATAGCTAGCTTGATTGTTCATAGGTTGCAACATTGGACAATATGGCGTCTGGAGATCTGGAAGTGGTGTGCCCTTGTGATGGTGACTGTCAGTGGCATGTTGTTTACAAAATGGCTTGTTATCTTTGCCGTTTTGTTGATTGAGTTGAACTTTTTGTTGAGAAAAAAGGTGCTGTATTTTGTGCATGCTTTGAAACAGAGTGTGCAAGTTTTTCTTTGGTTGAGTTTGGTTCTTGTTACTTGGGTTTTGCTATTCAGAAAAGATATAGAACGATCACCTCTTGCCACTAGGATTTTAGATTCCATTACATGGACGCTGGTAGCTCTGGTTATTGGGACAGTCTTGTGGCTTATAAAGACATTGCTGCTGAAGATTTTAGCTTCCTCTTTCCACGTCAACGCATTTTTTGATCGAATCCAGGAATCCGTATTCCATCAGTATGTTTTAATGACCCTATCTGGAACTCCAGTTCTGGATTCAGCTGGTATGGTTAGCAGAACAAATAGTACCCTTAGTCAATTTAGTGTTCAGACCACCAAAGTAGGTAAAGATGGAAAGGAAAAGAAGATGAAACAGGTGATAGATATGAATAAGCTCCATGAGATGAAGCGAGAAAAGGTTTCTGCTTTTACCATGAAAATGTTAGTGGATATGATATCTAATACAGGTCTGACAACCATTTCGAGTACACTTGCTACTGATGTCTATGGCGGAGGACATGAGCAGTCGGATAAGGAAATTAATAATGAAGAGGAAGCAATTGCAGCTGCATATCACATTTTCAAGAATGTTGCTCAGCCTAGTAGCAAGTGAGAAAGACATTTTCTTTTAATATTAATTCCATATTCTAGGTTTGTTTAAAATCTGAATCTTTTCCACGTCGGTATTACTAATTAATTATGCCAATTCTTGAAGGTACATTGATGAATATGATCTAAGGAGATTCATGATTAAGGAAGAGGTGGATCTTGTTTTCCCAATGATTGACGTGGCTGAGACTGGGCGTATTAACCGGAAAACTTTGACTGAGTGGGTGGTAAGTCAGGTTTAGGGATATTAATTACTGTATCTGAAATTTTGAGCTGCTTAGAATTGTACTAAAAGATATTAAGGGATAGATTCCAGCTATTCACGTCTTTTCAAATGCTCTGATGTATTTTTTCCTTTCAGCATGATGTGCACAGAAGCTTAATATTTCATCATGCTTCACTAGCCATTTGTGTGGTACAGAATCAGACTAGCAGTCATAATTTCCTTACGCTAATGAACAGACTGATTATTTCTGCAAGTGTTCGTTCTGAACTGAAGAATGGCTAAGAAGATGACATAAATCATCTGACTTGATTGAATAATTGACCGAACTTTGTTCTTGTTTTATTGATAGTAGGCCTAGGAAATCATTCGATCGTTCACGTTCTCTTTTGTGTGCATTTTGTGCAGGTGAAAGTTTACAACGGTCGTAAAGCACTGGGGCATGCTCTGAATGATACAAAATCTGTTGTTAGGCAACTGAACAAAATCGTTTCAGTTGTCTTGATTATCATCGTAATTGTAGTGTGGCTTCTCTTAACGGAAATAGCAACAACCAAAGTTATTGTATTCATGTCGTCGCAGCTTGTGGTGCTGGCGTTTATGTTTGGCAACACTTGCAAGACAATGTTTGAAGCCATTATATTTGTGTTTGTGATGCATCCTTTTGATGTCGGGGATCGCTGTGTTGTTGATGGTGTTCAGGTGATTTTTAAGTAATATGTAATTGTTTCCTTTGGATAAATGCGCATTATTAATATAACATTTTGTCTTGTGTTTTTACAGATGATAGTTGAAGAGATGAATATCTTTACGACAGTGTTTCTTCGATATGACAATGAGAAGATATTCTATCCGAATTCAGTTTTGGCTACTAAGCCAATTAGCAACTTCTACAGAAGCCCGGACATGGGTGATGAGTTCCTATTCTGCATTGATTACAAAACACCACTCAAATCAATAGGGACTTTGAAAGAGAAGATAAAGAAGTAAGCCTGCAATTTCTGCAGTTTTGCCTACTCATTTGCACGTGATTGCTAATTTCTATATACCCTTTCCTGTCAAGAAATTTAAACTGTTAGATTAACTTGTAGTACAACTGTTGGATCGTGTAGGCATAACTCGCTTCTCATGAATTTAATTCCTGATAGTTGCTTCTCTTTTATAGCAATATCTTATGGTTATTATGTTTATATGAAGTTGGAAATGAACTACTGTCTACAGTTACATTAAGAAATATAATGAAAATGCTGTAATGTTTCAGTTACTTGGAAAGTAATCCAGCGTATTGGCACCCGAATCATAATGTGGTGGTGAAAGAGATCGAGAATGTGAACAAGATCAAGATGGCTCTTTATTTCAATCACACAATGAACTTCCAAAACTTTCCAGAGAAGAACAGAAGAAGATCCGAACTGATCCTGGAGATGAAGAAAATTTTCGATGAGCTGGATATCAAATATGATCTGCTCCCACAAGAAGTTCATCTTGTCGAGTTGAAGTCTAAAGCAATGGCAACTGGAACAACCTGATGATATCTTCATTTTGTTACTCATTAATCTGTTTTCAATTTTGGAATGCTCAGATTTCTCAATTTTCAAGTAGGGATCTCAGTACAAAAGGGTTTCCAAAGTGAGTTAGTCACATTATTAAGTAAACCATTCTTTCTTGTTTGCGATAGCCTAGTTAGCAATTTTTACTCCACAACTCCATTTTGTTGCTGTTAATTTTGTTGAATGGAGCTAACGGCAATGTGGGAAAGACATTTGACTGAATCAGATTAGGAAGGGCTTCAGCTTTACTTAAAAGTTGAACAGGTTTTTTATGAACCATTTGTGAATTGTGACAAGATCATTTTATCTGTACTTCCATCTTGACATGGTTGTTCTTTTGGCAAGAATTGACTTGAAAAACGACTAAAACCAATGAAGATACATCCTATTCTCAAATGTTAAGAACTTGAATTGGAAAGGTGTTGGCTGCAATTTATTTGCTGATAATCCAGATGTTAAAATCTCTTTGGTCATTGAAGAAACATTTGTGGCAGAAAATTTCTTTGGTTGGACAGGATAACCTTATCTTGCCACATAATCACTGATATTTGATAGGTAAGCAAGAAATCTCCAATGTCCACCTCTCATATCTCTCTGGTCCCAAATCTTTATCAATTCAACTAAGCCCTCAAAGTCATCAGGCCAGATCTTTCAGCTAAGCAAACAAATAGGAAAAAAAACTCATCTTTGAACATTTTAACTTCACATTTTTGCCTTAGTGTAGTAGGTTTGTCCTGAGGCAGAAAGAATATTAAAAGAAAAATGGCCTCAGTTTCAATGGCAATGTCAGTAACAACTGCAAAGCTCCCAACCTCTGATGCATTCATTAAGCCATTGCCAGTGGTGATTAGGCCATCATCAAAGAAGGTTTCTGGTTCAAACAACAAATCCCATCTCAGAATTGAAGCATCTTTGAAGGAGAAAGCCATGGCAGGACTAACAGCAGCTGCAATCTCTGCGTCAATGGTTGTACCTGAGGTAGCTCAGGCAGCCAGCAATGACTTCAGCCCATCACTCAAGAACTTCTTGCTCAGCATTGCAGCTGGTGGAGTTGTCCTTACAGCTATCTTAGGGGCGGTGATCGGAGTTTCCAACTTTGATCCGGTGAAGAGAAGTTAAAAAGAGATATGTTGGGGGCCATATATATAAAAAATCTATGTGAGGTTTTTCTTAATTTCTTCATAAAAGTGTGATTGATTCTTGTTGGATTAACTTTTTGATGTTATATGCAACTTTCACTTTACTTCTTTAATTTCTTGTTTGATGCAATATGGTTCACCTGATTAGCATAATTATGGATTAAATCCATGGCTAATCCACTAGAAAAAAAAAAAAATCAATTGTGCATGATTCATGATCGATTTTTTTAAGGCTTTCGGCTTGTAGAATCGAGCGATTCTGTAACCTAAGATCGTGATGATAACAAACTACCCTTGAAACGAAAAGAAAATGGAAATGGAGAAAAGGGCTCTTGATGCATCACCATTAACACAAAGTAGTGTTCACTGAGTAACAAATGTAGCTGAAATGATGATCAGAAAAGAGACCTAGAACAACAACCTGAAGAAGCCTATAGAATATACACTGACTAAATTCCCAAGAGCTTCTACAATATTGTTTTTTTTTTTTTTTAAAGTCCTGATGATTCAAAACTACTAATCCCGTACAGAAGAAGTTTGCTTTTCCTTCATCACCAAAAGGCCTGCATTTTTTTTTCCCCTTCTGGAAATTAAATCCGATAAGCGACGCCATGACCATGAATAAACCTTGCATCCTCCTCAGTGTAAACATGAGTTTCATTCTTCAATCTGAATCAATCAATAGCCAAAAACATAGATATATTAATAAAGACCCTCCTCAGATTTCAACCTTCATTTCACAAAATGATGATCTGATCATGTTGTAAAATATGGGGGTGGGGGGGGGTGGGACTTACGTTTTGGCAACAGTTTTATTCAAGATAGTTGAGGAGAAAAAGGAGGCACCGCTTAGGTAGAGGAGTTCTCCATCAATTTTTTCAGCCATTTTTTTGTCTATCTTCCCAGCATCAAGGCAAAATGGCTGGTCTGAGGCCTGAAATTATTCATCCATCAAACATTTTTTAGTTCATGTCAGTAAAACATTTGCAAAGAGAAATGAAGGACAGACAAAAAAAAAGTTAAAAAATTATATATGCTTACAATGACCCATCCCCAAGTATCAGCAAAAGATGGTACATGAGCTGTGTAAGCAAGAACATCTGCCATGAAACATGCACACATTAGCACTTAAGAACTACCATAGAAAAAATATGAAGTAAAATTATGTGTAAAATGATGTATAAAATCTTGAGCTTAATTTTATAATCAAGTTCCACAGGCAAAAGGCTCACATTTGAAGACTTGTTTGATGGTGTTGTAGATTGATGAAAATACTTCCTTATGAGTGAACACTCCTGCTGGACCAGCCTATGGAAAAAGTAATACATAATGTTAACAATATAATTGATTTTGAGTAATTACCATGATACATATATATATATATATATATAAGCAAATAAATAATAAATGATAATTCAACCAATTACCTGAGTAACGAAGATGCCATTGTCATTAAGCTTAGGCTTGAGAATGTTTTCATAGAATGACTTTGTGTAGAGCTGATAACAAGGTCCGCCTTCAACTGGATCGGCCAAATCTCCTACTATTATATCGAATTTTTCCTTCCTCGCCTCTAATTCGGCTCTTTGAAAGGGGAAAAAAAATAAAGTAAAAATTAAATTGTACTCATTTTTATTATAGAAAGCTTAGTCACCATGAAAACATAAGATAGGTAATTATGTTTTTATTCAATAAAATGATTTTATTTATTTTCTACTATCAAGCCAAGTCAAAAAAAAAAAGTCACCACAAAAATATTATGGGTATTTCAGCCAAAGCCCAACTATAGGGGGGCCGAGCCCAGTATAGCTGTCATTGGATGGATAGAATTTTTAGCTTTGCCAAGAGTAAAATCCATCCAAGAAAAGTTAATTTAATTTGAGAAAAGAAATGCCAAAAATGAAAAAAGGAAATTCAACCCCATGATCTTGAATCTTGAAAATTATTTGCGAGTACTAATTTTTGGGATAATATAGAAACGTCAATTCAAAAACTTGTGATTTGTGAGGTAATCAGCATCAGTCATCACTACTGAGCAACGCATGCCAAGTAAATTATGAATTTAAAAAGGTTTTGAATTCTGTCCTTTTCTCATTCACATTAACTCAGGTCAAATAAACAAATTTAATCCAATAGAAGGGGAAAATCTATTTATTTATAGTTAGTTTCGTTCACGATGATTGTCTTGTATTCTGTAACTATTTGATATAAATCGAAAAAATTACTTATTTTGGAATAAAAATGAGTTGGAGAAGACAGCTTACTTGGCATCATTGATGACTAAATGAAGCTTAGTGTTTCGGAATGCCTCATGATTTGCTGTTAGATATCTTCTGCAAAAATCAACCACCTCCTGCCATTTTTTAAATTTTTTTTTCATGTGTGATTGGTAATCAATATTCATTCAATCTGTCTTCAATTCTAAGGTAATTAACTTCGATTTCATGTATTACGTCCCAAAATAATTATCACATGCGAATATGATAATCAATTTAGAACAGACGAATGACTACGATTTTCAACAAGCGAGAGAAAAACAGATTGTAATATTAAAATGTAGCCGATTGATAGTAATTATTATTCTTTTTGAAAGAAAGTACCTGATCAATATCACACATGACCACTTTTTCGATGGATTTGTGTCTCAGTGCTTCCCTGGCGGCCGACCCTTCACCTCCTCCCATTATGAACACTGTTTTTGGACTGTAATGGGAGTAATAGATGATCAATCAACAGAATATTATGAGAATTACATATTTTTAAAGCAAATATTTTAAAAGATTGCCATTTTTTACTGGGAGATACTCTCTCTACTTTTGCATGAATTTAATTTACTTTTTGATTAATTATCTATACGTTGGATAATTTACTCATCCACTGTACTTGACCCTTTTTTTGCAATTCTTGTAAGATAGCAAAAATTTTGTTTTTTTTTTTTTTTTGAAATCGTTAAAAAAAATAAATTATAGATTTTTCATTTCTAAGAAAGTCAAAGTCAGAGGGTTTGGATAGCCAAAGGTGGACGTGGAGGTAAAAAAATTAAGTTGGGCATGCATGCGTGATTTGATTATTACAATTAATAAGGACAAAAGAAGAAAAACATTTTTTAAAAAAAATAAATAAATAAAATTGAGTGGAGTTTCTATTAATAATAATTCGTGAAAATACGTACTTTGGGTGGCATAAGAGAGCTGGATGAATCAAACATTCATGATAAATAAATTCATCCACTTCTGCACTCTGCATCTTCCCATCAATCACCAAAACCTGTTATCCAAATTGAAAGAATAAATTAATTATTGTCAAAATATGTGTTCATTCTCGATTCCAACAATGAATAGTTGAAATTAAGTGACGAGGAAATAAGTACTATACTTTGCCAAATTTCTTAGTGTCCAAAAGTGCTATATCCTGATATACGCTTGTCCCCTTGTGCAAAACCCTGTAATAAAACAAGATAACACATTTGTTTTACTAAATAAATAAAAAACATTCAGATATAGCACGGAATTTTCTATGTGAGAAGAATCAATTTATTCTTTTATAAAATTGTCATTGACCCTTTTATATGAACAAAAAAAATCGTTTAACATTTATATATTCAACATCGATCATATGAAGTTCAAAATACAAAAATTAGTAACGAGAAAGGAAAAAAAAAAAAAAGAAATTCACATATTAAAACTTTCATTAGTTGAACACGTTGGCTAGTCATAATAAAAGGAGACTTAATTTTCTGCGTGAATTACTGCGAAAATGGTTAACCTGTTCAAAGCAAATGACCATTTCAAGTCATCATCAAGCTCTTCCTCAAACCAATTAGAGGCATCATCATCATGAAAATGATTCAAATCCTCCATTGATAACAAACCACCAAGGTGATTGGATTTTGGTAAATCACAATGAACTTTGTTGGAGATCAAGCAATCGCAATCAAAATACTCAACAGCTTCACTACCCATAGCTCTCTCTTACGTTTGTGTGTATGATCAATTGAAGAAATGAAGTGAAGTAGAGGCAACCAGAAAAGACGCACAAAAACTAGAGAGAAATTAAAAGACAATAGAGGTGTTTTGAGTAAAGAAAGTGTGAGGGCTTTGGAATGTGGCTTTGGCACCTCTTTATAGCATCCAAAAGGGAGGATTTTTGGTTGCCATGCTGAATAACCATCATTATTATTATTATTTTTTCACTTTTGGTTATCTCCTCCAAACAGTTACACGGATTTTCTGTCGACATTTTTATTTATTTCTATTTTTTATATATATATATATATAGAAAAGGGTTTGTAGCAACAGTAATATATATAAATACTTTAATATTCCAATGACATCTCTCTTAATTAAAAAAATTTATTAATAGCTAATAACACCATTTGCAAGGGGGCCAAGTTGATACAGTCGACAAGATGGGTGAATATTCGTATTTGCATGAGCGTATCATTTGGTATAACATGATCATCTTGTTTTATCAAAATTAAAAAAAAAAAAAAAATTACTGTATCAAATGATATGTTTCATGTCGTGGAAATTTTCCTTCCTGGCCTCCCAAATTTCAATTAACTTGGAAGAATTGTATTTTTCAGAAAATAGGTCTTCAATTTTATTATTGAGATAAGAAAGAAGTATTTTCTAAGCATCCAATCATCTCAAAAATTATAAATTTCAATACTAGATAGGGTTTCACATTCCCTGCCTATAATCCTATTCAATTGTTTAAGAAATGATCAACATAAATTAAAGAAAGAGGGGTTGACCCCTCAACTCGAGGCACAAATATTGTTGTTAGCATGTGAATCAATTATAGATTCTGATCGTGCTAATTTATAGTCTCATGATACCTACACAATATTGGATGGTTCATTTGTTGGAGTTGGGCAAGTCTAAAACAGGATTTCATTCGGTTATTAGGGCTCTTTAGAGGCACAACTTCCTACATTTTTTTCATTAATCTTGAAAAGAGGTGGTGGGAATACTAACCCTCATTGATTCATTCACCACATTATTACTAACTATTTCTTAAATGTTTAACGTACATGTTGCTAGTTACTATTATCATCGTCCCAACTTCAAAACACAAATTCAGTCGGTTTCAATATATGAACTTATCTCAAGATAGACAAAAAAAATTGACGAAATTAAATTCTCCAGTAGGTAGAAAAACATCTTATAAATCGGTAAGAAGGTTAAGCGTCTTATAAATCGTAATTTACTTTTTTAAAATTATCTTCTTATCCTATGTGAGCGAGAGAGGATTACTAATTAATTCCTACCAACAATAATGAGAATAGTACTAAAGGAACTATGAAGTGTACGTGGAGGTCGATGACGGGATAGAAGCATATTGGGAAGGCATGCGCATTATTTTATGGCCAAATTATTTGGGAAGACAAACAAACAAATACATTTTCCTTTTCATTTTTTTTTAAAAAAATTTTTGTGTTGAAGCCGCATGGCTGAAGGCGGTCCCACATATGTACACGCGGAACCAAACAGCCGCACGTCCATGACATAAACCTGATAGTAGTACGTAGCATATATTAATTATTATTAATTTATTATAATTATTATATTGTGTGTATTATATATATCATCCGGTGGCAAAATTATTTGCTAAGTTGTACCCCCCCAAAAAAAAGTTTATTTGTTAAGAATTCGATAATATTAACAATAAGTATGATTATTCATTTATTTGGGTAATATTTCTTGTCAATATTTCCTTTTCCCTCTGTTTTCCTAGGATAACTAAGGAAAAAAAAAATCATAGAAATAGTAATACGAGGCAAATAAGGTTAGTAGTTCCATGTTATAGCTCTTATTTCGCACCTAAAGTGGTTTACCTTTTTTTCAAAAAATAAAAATAAAAAAATTGCAAGTTATTATGGTAGGTTCTCGCTGTTAATTAGCAAGCAAAGAGGAAAAAAAAATTGTCCTATAAATATGGGAAAACAAATGTACAATGGGCCGGTTTATTTAATGAATCAACCGTAAACTTCACTTATTTAGTAGTAATTTCTAATTGAATAAATCATGATATAATTAAAATGGAAATGGATGAATAGGAATTTTTCGATTATTTAATTGCAAAGTGAACACAGAATACTTAAACATGAGTCGCTCATTTAGTTCGTTTAACAACCGCATGCATGCAGAATCGTGGATGATTTCATATGTAAATTCTCAATCAATAAAATGCAATCAAAATATAAAAAAACAACTAATCATCAACAGAAAAACCAGTTGATCAAAAGAAGAATGAAATGATTTTTAGAAAAATCAGTATGGTGAGATTGTTTTTTTTTTTTTTTCAAAAAACGCAACATATATATTGCATGTATTGATTACAAAGGAATTACTTAATTTGATCAAGGCTCGCCCTAGCCAACTTATGTGAGTTTTTAATTATGACTCTCTTAATCATCTTATAAAATTTTTCAACAGTATGATATTACGTAAAAAAAAAAAAGTTTGTAAATTTGTGTTTTTTCCTCTACACTTGGGAATGTAATAAGTTGAGATAAAATCGAATTAAGGCCTTTCGGGTTGAAGAAAAATAACCACAGAGAAAAAAAAAAAAAGAAATTTACATAAAGACAAAATTTAATTAGACAAAGTAATAAGACATGATGAATTAATAATAATCAAACTCGTGGACCCTTTTTCCCATATTTCCCCCAAGTCTTTCTGTTACTCAATTAGCCCTCCAAATTGGTGGATTGGTAGTAGCACTAGTAACAACAAATGTGTCTTTTTTTCCCTTTTCAAAAAGTCACCTTATCTATAAAAGCCATAATATACATATGCATACATCGCACAAGCATATATTGGCTTTAGTTGGTAGAAAATGCATATCCATTCATCGCAGGGTAATGTATGGAAGTGACAATGGATCGTATTGTTGGTGTCATTTTCTTTCGTTTAAACTAAGGTGCATGCAACAATAGCAATGAATGCATAAAGTATAGGGCATATCTTGCTTATTTCATCACAAAAATAATTTATTTATTTAACTAATACAATACAATAAATTAATAAATTATAAAAGTGAAACGAAGGAGTAAAAATAAATTGGAAGGACAGAGTATTATTACATCATTAGGCGGATCCGGATAATTTGGTATGGCAGGTCGATTGTGGTTCAGATTCATTAAATAGCATTCGTAAATTGATCAAACCTGTTTCTTCTGTTGTAGCAAGTGATGACTACTATGGAATCAACATGTAGATGTAACAAAATATTCTCTTGATCAATAAACTTTTTTCTTTTTTTTTTGAAAAAAAGAAAACATTTGTAGAAACATCGAAAGGAAAAATTTTTTTTAAAAAAACCCATATCTATCGTCATAAATTATAAGGGCTTTGATTTTCTTTACTATTTACTAGTGAGTGAGGTAGCAATCGGATACACAATAAAACATTGCGATCAAAAACAATGTTCAAAGTATTTTGTAAGACGGTACAAATTGGATAACCCAATTCGGATTTCGCAAGAAATGAAACCGAAGTTCTTTCTTTTGACCTAAAAACTAGCTAGAGACTATAATTCCACCACAATTTAATTATGTAAAGGATATTGAAAATGAAATTGACTTTGTAGAGAATAAGAGAAATAAATATAAAGTAGTATAACAAATAGGATCGATGATGGATGAATGGAAGGCGTGCGAAGAGAGTTGAGACGGCAGCAGCCGGCAAGCAATAGTGGGGTCTCTATATATGTAATTGGTTTTTTGCTAGTTCTGCTGTCTGCCTAAAAGCTCGAAGAAGGAAAAAAAAAAAAAAGGAGCAATCAAGCAAAGAAGGCAAAAGACGAGAGAAATTGCCTCCCAAAAAACATAAATGACAATTGATAGTGTTTTTAGTAAATAATATGCATGGATTGTGTTTGTCTGGGGCGTGCGGTGATGCCACTAATTAAGTTCACATGAACAAAAAGGCTAAACCCTACAAAAAGGAAATATAGATTTTGTAATTTGTGGAGTGCCCATTTACCCACACTAAAACTCTAAATTCATCTTCCTATATACTCTCCTTCATCATCATAGTAACCATATTTATCACACACACCACAAGCCTTTTCTCACATTTGTCCCCCTCTAATGATCTACTTTTTGTTTGAGTTGGTTTGGTTGCCAAACAACTACTCCCTCCGTCCCATAATTATTGTCCAGTTTGAGATTTTATTTCTAGTTCAAATTGTACTAAAAGTGAAATCTCAAACTGAACAATAATTTTGGGACAGAGGGAGTACATTTTGCATGCTCAAATCCCTTTTTCCCCCATTGCCTATCTTCATTTAGCATTTTATAGTGATAGTTGTTAGAGGTTTGAAACGTGAAAGTAATGATGAACGAGCAGTTGAGTGAACGGATTAAGTTTCGTGATTAGGCTTAGCAGTTCATAAGAAATGTTGGTTGGAAGGTAAATTGATGAAAATACAAGAGTAAGGTCTTTAATGTAAGTTCTTCCACTTATTTAAAAAAAAAAAAAAAGAAAAACACCTCAATTCGTATTGCTGTAAATTCTTGTAACGTTTCTGGCATTTTTGTCACAGTTCAAAATAACCTTTTTCCCTGTCCTCTCAAGATCTCACCATATAACAACATAAGAAGTAGAATTAAACAATCAAAATTAGAAGTTCAGGTAACTTTTAAGAAAGGGGTGGTGAAATGGGACCAAATATATGAATGGTTCTTGACGTGGAATTGGGATCTTATCCGAACAAATCCAATGTTGTGTCTTACAGTAGTTAATTCAAGTTCAAAGAGATCCCAAACTAGGGATTTTAAATGAGTTAATCAAGCAACTAATCACGTTAAAAATAATTCTCTATAGCAAGCTGGATAGGAAATATTAGTTTCAGTATTGAGGGAAATTAAAAACGTATCGAGGTTTTGTATTTATTTATTTTTTTTAAAAAAAAATGTTTGCCATCAGTTCTAAAATGAAAAATCTAAGTCATGTTCATGGCGTTATTTAAGTTCAACAAACAAATCTTATATTGATAATCCTAATCTATCAATCCGACCAAACAAAGAACAAAGTGCAACTTTAAACTTTCCCAAAACTACAATTATTATACCCCTAAAAATATACACTAAGAAAAAAAATAAAAAAAAAAGAAGACAACATTTTAAACTTAGGTTTCCTTAGTTTGAGGGCATTGTAGTAACTCAAAACTCAAAAGGTGAGAAGTGTGCAAAAAGGAGTGAATGCTCAATTGCTTTGGTAGTGTTTCAAGTGATGGGTCGGGGAGACAAGGCTACAACAATTTCTTTTAATTTCCTTTTTACATTATTGTTATTATTATTATAATTATTATGATTCATTGTCAAGGCGGCTCACAATCATTTTCAAGGCCTTTTAGGCGTTATCTATTTTAAAATAAATCTATATATAAACCAAGAGTTTTCTTTCATTTATTCATTTTCAAATGCAAACCCCCCCACGCCGCACTAAGTCAATGCGTTCTAAAAAGCCCTCGAGTATGACATCTCATGGGATGATAGTCAAAACTTTTCTCCAATCAAATCTTTTTCCTAACAAATTGTTTTTCGCAGCATTGAGGTACTTTATGTAAATGGTCCGGCGTTTCTTTTCGTTTTAAATCCCTAGATTTTTTCTGTTTATACAATGTATGGAGCTTAGAACGGAGATGTCTTAATTTTATTATTTCATTTTATTGTTTTAATACATGAAAGGAAACATTACATAGAATTTTCAATTTATAACATTAATTTTGTTAGTGAGAAACAACAGTGATATCATCAAGACATGCATGTAACCATAGTCAAAGAGACGCATGAGAGAAAATATTAGGCATACATAAACAAAAATCTTGTGGACTACAATCTTGAGCGCAACTATATATATATTACCCATTCAATCCCCTTTCTTGATGAGTTTAATTATAAAATTGGGTAAAAAGTGATTAGTTTGGTCCTATATTGCACGCCTTAACAATAATAATATACATATTTGTTTAGTCTATAATTCAAATAAATTCATATCAACACTGACACACTGCCAATTTAAATATTATCAAGGACCAAATGTGCTATATTTATATAAATGGAGACCGAATTTTGTTTATTTCTTAAGAAGTTTGATTGTGAATTTGTGATAACGATTGCAATTTATGAACATGGTGATCCTGGCTGAGATGAATTTATAAAATGATTTTTGTAGTAAAACATCCAACACGATATTGATTTGAGATTTTTAAGATAGATAATGATAAATAAATAAAATAAAAAAACCGACGTTCCCCGAACGCATGCGGGTGGCTGATGATTGGATTTTGCAAATGTGTCAATCCCACATTACAAATACACACATTAATTACTTGTTCTTGTTTTTCTATTGCCACTTGTTTAGACTTTGCAAATTGCAATATTCAGCTCTAAAAAGTAAAACCCCTCCTATTACAAGATAATCACATAATAATTAGAAGATATTTTGTCCTTTAGAGGTCCGTGATTTTTTTTTTTTTTTTTTTTTACTATTTCTCATTCGAACAGTTTATGAATTTTTTTGAGAAACGATTAGTAATTGTAACTTATGTATCCAATCCAAAACTTAAAGGCTTAGTTCTTACCAAGTGCAAAGATATACAACAGTCATATATTCATATCTCTAATTTTCCAACCAAGAAAAAGAAATAGTTGAACAACACTAATGGAGGCAAGAGCACACACGATAAAAGGCTTAAACACACAAATGACAAAATTGTACTCCCTCCTGCCATAATTATTGTCCAGTTTGAATGTTCATTTCTAGTCCAAATTGCACTAAAAATGAAATCTCAAATTGGACAATAATTTTAAGACAAGGGGAGTACTACGGTTTAAATCTATGTCATTATGCTCGCAGTTTACTTTGAAAACATTATTCCCACAAACGGATCGATGAATGTCAGATCATCGAACTTAAACATACCTCGCATTTTAAAACAATTTTATGCACGTCTGATTATCGTCATATCATCGTTAATATTATTTATTTCTTTCCTTTGGCAAAGAAAATTTTGTGTCGAACTACCCACTAATGAAAAAATGTATGTACACTCCTATCGACGAGATAAGGAAAATGAGTATTAAGAAATTAGTGTGATTTACCTAAAACTGATAATTACCGCGTTGGTGTGTGCAGTTCGAAGTGGAGTGAAAAGGTTCCAAATGCCTTTTCCTTTTACTATCTTTTTTGGACCCTTTTCCCATGGTGATTTCTAGTTGTTGTGGGGATGTGGTGGGCTGGCTGGCTGGCTGGCTTAGTTGGGTTCGGTGCTCCAAAATGGAAAAAAGGATTTCACTAACTACTCATTATTACTCGTAAAAAATTTATCAAAAAGGCATCAAAAATTGTATCTTAAAAGTGACCCTTGTGGGGGCCTTCCTAAATCATGAGGTTTTTAGCTTGTCTTGCACACGTGATGTTGTGTTGCAAGATGACTGTGGTGTGACCTCATCTTGATAACAATCTTTTCTTCTAAACATCAGGGCAAAAGTGGATTTTGGATATGATCCACTATCATCAATCAAAAATTGTAGCACATTGCCGCATGAGGCATGCCCTCAGTGTCAAATCGCCAACGCTGCTATATAATGCGACAACAATAAAATTTGTACTCCCTCCATCCCATAGTTATTGTCCAGTTTGAGTTTCATTTCTAGTTCAAATTATGCTAAGAGTGAAATCTCAAACTGGACAATAATTTTGAGACAGAAAGAGTATAATACAACCCTAGATAACTTGTTCGATAATAAGAGCATACAATTCTAATCACTGCTAGGATTTTATTACTTTTTATTAAAATCATATTTTGCTAAAGTTATACAAATAAGGAAACCAAACAACGTTCAACCACTAGATATTGTAGATGCATGATTATCGTAATACTCTGTCAAATTTTCTTACTAGTAAATAGTTGTACAATTTACTTCACATTCAGAACAATATCATCATATATCGTGACATGGTTGCTATTGTTAACATAAATGTGTATGAAAATATCTTTAATTCCTCCATTCATATCTACCGGATTCCACTAAAGTACTATTCAAATCATTTGCTTGTACACTTGCGCACTTGAACTGAAACGATTCACAAAATTTGAGGGAGTTTACTCAGGGAATGCAATGCAATTCCTCTTGGGGTTGGATGTTTGTCTTGTTTGCAGACCTAATTTACCAAATTACATGGTAAAGTCCATAATTTTGATTTAGTTGAATGAAATGTTGTTTGGCCATGTAGTTATCCACCATTCATTCGGGTTATTTTTGTTTTTCCCCTCCATCCGATTCAAATGGTATAATGAACAAGACTTTTTGTTTGAAACAAACAAAATATAGAATTTTGGAATCTCAAAAACTTAATAATATTCCCTGTCCCAAAAAGAAAAAAAAAAATACATAACCAATTTTTCCCTAAATGTAATGCGGACTATTTCTTTTTTTGGGCAGAGGTAATTTGTTCTTTCACTTGTTCAGCCAGGGCAAGTAGTTAATTCGTATTTTGGATGTTCCCAAGGGATTCAACAACGCAAAGCTACATTGCTTCAAATTTGCTACACCATTATCAAACAAATTGCCATCCAAATTTTTTGACATCAGATCATAAGACATTTTCCCATCCGAGAAATGAATTAATGCAGAACAAATTTTGATTTTTCTACATTCGTGTTGGAAGGGACTGCCAAATTTTGTCACCCTCAGACACGAGACAGGTACTTGTAAACAACCAGCTCGCTGTAAAAAGTGACGTATATTTCATTCCAAGAACTAAGACAATGATCATATTTAGGTAGGCTTAGCACAGAAAGCAAGTAAACTAATTTTTTTAAATATTTTTTATACACTATTCTTGCACACACCAAAAGAGAAAAAAAATAAAATTGCTTCTACAATGGCTATTTTAGAGGATCTGCCCAATTTGATGTTTCCAGTCGAATATATTGTTAAATTTTATTACGCTGACGCGTAGTCGCACAAAAATTTAATTTCTTCGTAACATCTGTATTAGTGTATAAGAAAAATGAGATGTCAATTTACCTATTTGAGCAGGTTTTTGCTTGGTATTAGAATGATACACCATTTCAATAGACCCCAATTGTTGGGAGACATTATTGCCATAGGTTCACCAATGTGGCTTTGCCCCATTATTCGGCTTGGCGAATCTTGCATCCACGTTTTGTTCAGGTAATGAGGGTTCCACAGGAGAAACTAAAAATCTGAATGATACAGACAGACGAGGCTTGAATGAGTAACAGGGGAACGACAAAGTGGGCACTCAGGCTTCTCGTTACACCATTCCATGATGCAGTTCCTATCAATACCGTAGTATCATTAGATCACAATGTAAAAGAGGCAAAAGTCGGGCGAGGTGAACATTTTCAAGAATGCTAAAATGGTCGGCAAAATTCAAAGGCAAAACCAAAAAGCATGACTATAATTGAGTCTAGAAGTCCTACCAGCAAAAAACATGACCGCAGGGAGTGGCTGTTGGGTGTTGGCGATTGCTGAGACAGAGCGTACATTTGCTAACTCCAGCTGCAGCAGACTAAAAGGGGAAAAAAAAAATTGTTCAAAAGACAGACTAGGAACTGAACACAAGGAAATAATCTGATAGAAGATTTGAGCCTGCATTTTTAAGATGATTCAGATGCCCAATCAATCAGCAGATGACAAGTTCTTTTCCAAATCGACTAAACTAGAATCTGGAGCAAAAACGTTTGAAACAGAACAAAGATATTTAAAATTAGGTCTATTGGGGCAAAAAGGCCTGCCATGATGAGATGGCCTGTTTGTAATAAATTGATATCATAGCCTCAATTTGATGGTCAGCTAAAGCACACAGAACAACCCAGTACTGCTAAAACCCGGAGTATACAACTAGTCAATACACATCAAGAGATCCGTCTAACAAGTTGGCAGCCAGTTACACAAAATCTAAGGCCGAGTGAAATGCTGAAAATAAAGTATACCAGACCATGCCACAATCTGAATCTCAAAGCATACATAAAAATGAACCTAAAAGTTTGTTTGCAAATGTACACGCACATAAAGTGAAATCCTACCTCCGAAGTGGAAGCAAAATCTGATCCCAAACTGCTCTTTTCAGTATCTCCTGTTATGAGATTGCCTTCTTCATTCAGAACTGGTAAGCCACGCCCTAAATATTTAAGCATAAGCAAAGGATTAACTTTCAAGGAAGCGAAAACGGTCAAAAAAGAGATACAAAATTTTAAATCCCAATAAACACAAATAACAAACACTATAATATGACTTGTAATGAATGTTTGTTGAACTTAGTCTCACATAAAAAAGATTAATGACTTTCTGTAGGAACAAAGAGACCTCTGTTCATAGGACCACAAGATTCTTCCACCCTATTGAGTTCAGTTAAAATCAGTCGTAAATTTAAGAGTTGTAGCCCAAAGGTCTAATACATACAACAGTTAACTCTATGACGAGATAACACTCTGGAAAAGGATTCCATGAAAACAATGTAAATTCTAAGTATTAGAATGGTAACCAGGAGTTTATTTGTACAAATTGATACAACAATAAGTAGTTGAGAATATAAGTGAACCTGTGGAATTGCGGTAGGACCCAATAGATGCCTGTTGAACTGAACTTGCGATGGACGATAAATTGCTCCGCCGCAAACCTTCCGCCGCAATGATACAAAGCTGAACGAGAAGAAAAACTCCTAATATTTGATACCTGCACCCACGAGAACTTCAGGATCTTGGAACTGTAAAAGGACCATAACCACATAGATGTCAAATCAACATTGAAAGAAAGCCACATATGTTATAACAAGTTGATCAAGGCACTATACATTACTTTCAGGGATTACAAGTTACAGATGCACTAATTGTATTCAATCAGATAAGCTATTTAAAATTTAAGTTCACCGAAACGGAAGTTTTATTTTTTTATTTTTATTTTGGGTTTGGGGGTGTTTGAATTCATTCCGCATAAACAAAACTATAACAAATTGGAAGGGGGAAAAAAAACCATATCCCTATATACGGACCAATAGTTGAAAGACAAAATTACCTAGGCCGCTGGCTAGTTGGTTTACTGATGAAGACATATCGAATGCCTGCTGCACGTTTTGATATATGATAGTAGAGACCTGTTAAAAAGAAAATACATAATAATCAAATAGTCTTCCAAAACTGTCATTGCATTAAGTATTTGATGAACAAGCCGCAATACCTTCGAAATAGAAAAACATCAGATTAGCACGCAGAATTAACTGGAAGCATTCACGAGCAAAGGGAGAAACCTGGATTAAAAAGGCATAAGATAGGTTAAAAAATGAAATTAAAAAAAAAAAAAAAGAAAAAAAAAACCCTAAAGAACAGAAAGTCATGAGAACAGCTGATACATCCTTACTAGAAATGTATTTTATCTTGTAAAGAATTGACTCCAACAAAGATTTTTTAGAAAAAAAGAGAAGCATCCAGTATATCAAACAAGCTAATGTAAATAAAGAAGAAAGGTCAAGGAAGAGAGCCTACTAGTGGCCACCTCTGAATTATATGAGACCACAAGCTGACAACTTTCATTTTCAATCTTGACAAAAATGATAATGAGGTCACCGAAATTTCATCTGTCTCTGGAGCTGGTATAAAGGTGTGCGTAGCATCATCCATTGAAATATCTTCAGATTGGAAGTCGGCAAGTGTGATGCCATGGGAAGCAATTCTGGAACTGTAAAAAAGAGAAGTTGAGGTGAATGTTAAGTAAACAAACATCAAACTCTTTAGCTGAAACTCTTTAGTTAAAAAGAGGAGTAAGTACAGTGGCACCTGACTCTCTCTGCAATATAAGGAACTGCTGTTTGATAGAATATGAAGAGGGCACGCCTTGCAGGTGTTGGGGATAGTTCATATGGCCCAGAAACCTATAAAACACAGATTTTCAAATGAGCTAAAATGAGCTGCCTAAAACTTTTTTCCTTGGAAACCATGGAATTTATTGAGAGTGCATAAAGCTAGAGCTAACAAGAACAAAGATCATTTCAGTGAGAACATACTTTTAGATCCAGAATAATGTTTCTCCAGAGCAACAAACTAAACACACAAGTATGATTATAGAGCAATAGATTTACAGTACGCCTACACAGCATCATTCATTCTACCAGACATCTACATGAGCGATCAGGGAGAGAAGTGAAAAATAGCACATGATGCTTGCAGTTCCAAGATATGAATGATCAAATATATGTACCTGAATGATGTCACAATATTCTTCCCCCAGAGTTTGCAGCCCAGCACCCGTGGTCAGCACATAATACAACATCTGTCCTAAAAGCTTTGTCTGCAAAAAGATAGGAGCTAAAAATTTTAAAATATCAGCTTGCTCTGGCAAAAATATCACCACACAGCAGGAAGAGATTAGATAGTTATGGAACTGAAGTCCTACAACAAATAATCAAACTAAAATTAAAAGCAAGCCCCAAGATTAAGCCCTATCTTCTTCCCCTTCAATACATTTTCTGTCATCTTCAACAAAGGAAAGTCTTGAAGAAACAAATTCATCCAAGTGAACAACTGATGTCCATAGACAACTTAACAGACAAGCATTTCAACTCTTTAAACCCCAACTCTAAACGGGAAAAGATAATGCGATCTTCCAAGTTTGGTTATCCATCCCAGGCACATAACAAGATAAGCAAATATAAAAGAAAAATGAGATATCGGCCAAATTAGGTGCCACAATATGGTCAGCTTCAAGAAACCAAAAAAATAAGAAAGAAACAATCTTTCTGCGGTCAAATGTGCAGATTATAACAGTTATATCGTAAGGATATGAAGATATTTCTCTTAGGCCCCTCTCCCAAATTCATCCCGAAACAGATTCTTTTTTGCCATTCGTTGTTGTGTCAAGATAATTAACGAATGCAAGCCATTGAAAACGGGTTTTTTTTTTCAACAAAGGAACTGTGAAGTTGATTTGTTAAATACGGTTGAACTGAACATAAGCTCCTTCAACAGCACATTAAACTCCTAGCAAAACAAGAAAAAAAAAAAAAGAAGAAGAAAAATACATTTCTTCCAATTAAGAATCACTACCCATCAAATAACATAAAACCTCGCAAAAAGAAGAACATCAATGAATAACTTCGTCGTAGAAAGGGAAAACAAACAAACAAAGAGAAAGAAGCCCAAACCTCATTCTGATAAGCCATTGCAACTCGTGTACCTGGAAGAAGAAAAAATACCATCAATAAATAAAACACCAACCACAAAAGCAACAAACAGAACCCTGATTAGCAAACAATTAGGACAAAATTTCGGAAAAAAAAAATGCAAAACCAAAAAACAGAAAGAAAAAGAAAGAGTAAGTTGTGCGAAGTACCAAAGAGCTGGCGAAAAGCGTCACGACAGGCTTCATAGACAAAAGAAGCATACTGGTCGTCTTTCTCAGCTGCCCTCATAATCTCGGGTTGCGCCGCCAGTGGGAAACGCCGGCCACTAGTACTGGCGTCTCCGGCTCCGCCTCCGGGCGGGTCCCTCGACGAAGAAGATGATGCTTCCGGGTGAACCATTTTCGCTTCTTTCTTTCCCCCCAATGCTCTAGTTTCTTCTAAATTTAAGTCGAGAAATTAAAGGATTTTGGTTTTGTTAAGACTGATTTCATTTCATGGGCGGTGGCGATTTTGGATTTCTGAGAAAGAAAGGCGGAGTTTGGGCTGAGGTGAAGTCGCCGGGAAGGTGTGGTAGGATCAGTATATCCGGGATATTAGTGTCGGGAAATTTGCATTTTGGCACTCCAACTTCTGTTTTCTTACAGTCCGAGCTAGGAGATCTACATTTATTACAGGAAAAAATGATATGTGTAATGAAAAAAAAAAAAAAAATAGTGACAGGTGGGTTTTACAATAATCCCCTTATTTTTCTGGCACTTTACCATTAAATTTTTTTTCTTTGAAATTAGTATAACTTTACCCTGATTCTTGTGCACACATTAGTTGCTCTACATTTTTTTTTTTCATTTTGTTTATTAGTACTGTTTACTGTTTATTAATGAAGAGTGGCTGATGTGTATACACAAGAACCAGGGATGAAAGTGTAATTTTGAGAAAAAAAAATAAAATTTCAACAGCAAAGTTTTAAAAGTAAGAGATTATAATATTACATATCAGTCATTATTTTTTCTACAATATATATTTTTCACAACACTTATCATTTTCTTATTAAAAATAGTACTACTTCCGTCCCAAAAGAATAGCTTACTTTTCGAAATGTAAATCTTAAAATTGAACTTATGACATTATTATAACCTAAATAAAATTGATTATCGGATTGATAAATAGTCATGAAACTTTATTCAACTTTTCATATTAATTTTTAATTTGCAAGATTATCATCTAATTTTTATATTCTAGTTTTTCAAATTGTACTATTATTATGAGACCGAGGTAATAGCATAAAGATATTGCAATATTTTATTATTTACATAATCTGTTATTTTGATTTTATATGTAGTATTCCGAAAATATCCCTGATTTGAGTTGGGTCAACGGTCGTCATGACGAAAATTGTAACGCAACAATGAAAAAGGACAAAAATGGTGTCAAAATAAAATGTAAGGCTCAATTCATATACATGTTAATGTAGGGAACCAAAATTTAAATTCGGGTAAATTTGTATATAATTACAGGGCTAACATAAGCATTATGATAATTAATCTTAGTACACCTCTGCAATTAGTATATCCAAGGATCATCGTCAGCCCAATATAACCATACAACAACTTAAACGCATAAGACATGAAATATGCAATTAAGCAGTTGATACATGTTAATGTCTTTGTACGTTATTTGTCTTCCCAAAGGTAAAAAAAAAAGATCGAACCTAACCAACAGCAACACTAAAAGTCAGTACGAAAGTAATTGTGTTCTCAATCTTTGATTCCCTTTAATTGCTTAGCTAAATTCCAAAGATCTTTTAACGTTAGTCATGAATGGGCATCTGAACATGGATTACGGCAATTTGAAAAACACTTTATAAATATTGACCAAGGAATTCATCGAAAAGAGCACAACAAGATTCGAAAGACAAAATCAAACACAAACAAAAACACAGAGAGGAGAACTGGAAATGAAAATGGATAGAACGTTTATCGGCAACATTATGTTTATGCTTCTTCTTTTCATCACTACTAGTAAGTCTTCCTATATCTTAAGCAAACAGAAATACAATAGGCTAACTGCAACCCTGTATTGTCAATTATATATATATATATATATATATATATATATATATAGTCTTTCCGTCCCGAAATTGTTGTTCAGTTTGAGTTTTTAATTTTAGTTTAAATTATACCAAAAGTAAAGTTTCAAACTGGACAATAATTTTGGGACAGATAGAATACTATTATTGTTTTTTTTTAATAACTCTTTTGTTTTTTTTTCAGAAATTAGGAGTCGGTAACTAATGAAATCTAATTAAACCCATCCCCAGATGGAATTGCCATGGAACTGGAAGCTAATAAATGCTACCAGCAATCGACGACCTACAAAGGTGATTGCCCAACAATCACAGATCCTGCCTGCACTGAGGCATGCAAGAGTGAAGGTTATGATGGAAGTGATTGCAGATGCATGAGACTTTTGAACGCCGGAATCTGCTTTTGCTTTAACCCTTGTACCAAATGAGATTAAATCTTAACATGATAAACTATCGGGCAAATAATTTGCAATTCCTTCATAACTTGAAACTAAGATCAATGACCTCATTGTCCGAATTGTTTTTAGGCTTTGTTTGGTTGCATTGAATTGGGACCAAGAATTGGAATTGGAGCTCTATAATTCTAATTCTTGTGTTTGGTTGCTAAAAATAGAGGTCCAAGAATTGTAATTATAATTCAAGATGGGGTCAATTCTTTATTTTCAATTCTTTTGTGGAAGCAAATAATTAGAATTCAAATTCAAGGCACTTAAAAAAAACATACGGGTCATAGCCGGGTCGTTTCCGAATTATAACCTAAACGGGTCGTCCTATCAATTTTTGTCTTTTGGCCTTTTTTTATATATTTTTTATAATTTTATTTTTTTCAGCTTTTTTCTTTTTCTTTTTTCGCTTTCAGCGCTTCCTGGCGTTTTTCTTTTCTTTTTTTTTCTTTTTTTGGGTTATTATTATTATTATTAATATCATTTTAATAATTATCATATATATCATTTTAATAATTATTATTATTATTATTAATATTATTATTTCATATATATCATTTTAATAATTATCAACGAAATCAATCTAAAATTAACATTGTATCTTTTTTTAAAAAAATCAAATGTATAGCTGTAACCAAAAAAAATTAATAACTAAATATTTTAGTTTTGGTTAATATTTTTATTATATTATGACATAGTAAACAATATAACATTTTATTTTTTTTAATAGAAATTGTTCCATATATACACCTATATTATAATACATATATATATATATTTTAACTATTCATGGAATCTTTTCACAAAAAAATTATGTAAGTTGAGTTTTAAGTATCTAATTATTTCATATATAATTATATACTAAAAATAAAAATATTTAAGCATATATTATATACTAATGTTAATCTATGTATAAATGAACCTCAACATTCATAAACTGAATTTACAATGTAATATAATAAAAAAAAATTTAATTTTTGATATAAATCAAAACATCAAAAATTAAAAATTTTAAAAAATAATAAAAGAGAGGAAAACAAAGATGTTTTACATGTTACTTGTTTGTGTATTAAGTGAAAATTTTAAGTATCATATTAATAGTTCTTATACGTAATAATATTTTTTTTGTTTCTAACAAAAATGTGTGTACATAATAAATTACAAAATTGATATAGCAAATTAAGTAATAATAATATTTCGTTTTAACAAAAAAAATAAAAATTGTATTAGTTAAACAACCACAAAGTAATCAAATATACATGTACATAATGAATTTATTTATTTTTTTGTGTATAATGTTATACATATCCATAATAAAATAAGTTTTTTAAAAAAAATTTTTTTGACAAGAAGTATAAATTGTACTAGTATTAGTTATACAATAACAAACTAATTTCAATTCCAAAGTATCCAAATTTTTATGCATCCAAACGCAAGAATTGGAATTAGAATCTTAATTCTAGTAAATTTTCAAGATCTCCCAAACAAGAGAATTGAGATTAAATTATAATATTAACATCTCATTTTTAATTTAATAATATTGTAATTCCAATTCAATTGCAATTCAATCTAATCAAATGGAGCCTTACTAGTTACAAGCCGCAACAAAGAGATGGGAACTAGTAGGTTTCCTGGTTGTTTACCATTCACATTGCCCTTCGGAGTTTGGATTGATAAAATATGAACTCTGACCTGATGAGTAACAAAATAAATATGCTTCAGACTTCAATCCAAAATGTCAATGTAGATTGTAGCGACTCCAAGTTTGGATGCTTTCAAAATGAAGGGGAATGCATAAAATTATGGATACAGTCTCAATTGTGTTTTCAAAACTAGTAAGCAGCACTATTGTGCACCACACATTATTAACAACAAATTATTCAAAGGACATCATTTTCAATAAAATCAAAAGAAGAAAGGATAGCACTTAAAATTCGAAAGAGACATCACTAAATTGCTGATTATTAGTACTAAAATTTAAGTTGAAATATAAATTCATGTGTAAGTGATTCACTAATTTCTATAAATAAGTCGATTGCAAACTAGGAGAATTTCTAAAACCTTTGCTATAAGAAACGTATTTCTATTTGTAAAGATTTTCATTTCAGTTTTATAAGAGATTACAAATTAAAATAAAACTTCCTATTCGTTTGGTTTTACAATATCTGAACTAAGCTTGGGTCTAGTTCTCGGAATTAATGATGATATTGCTCAATATGTGTCTTCATCAAGGATTTTTTTTTTTTTAAATAACAAAAGAGGAGACAAAAGCTTGACAAACATTAAAGCTTGGCGGAAGTTGACAGTAACTCCGTAGTGAAGATGGTTTTGCATCCGTCTGATGTAGCTGGCATCAACGGGGGACTAGTTCCAGCTATTAAAAAGCTTTTGGGACGTTCAAAGATTGTGAGAGTCAAGCATGAATTTTGGGAAGTGAATTTCGTCGCAGATTGTCTTGCATCGTTAGCGGCTTCAAGTTCGGGAGACTATTATAGATTGGAGGATTCACCAAATGTGTGAAACTTTGGCTCATACATGATGTAATGGGTGTATCTTATTTAAGAAATATTGTAATAGTATTAGATTTCGGCCTCCTTCTTTGCACACAAAAAAATAAAAAAACTAATCCTCCTCAAAGTTTCCTAAAAGGACAAAAAGTCCCATAAGCAGTGTACGAAAGGACATTTAATCCCTTAATGATGTAAAAGTGGGTCACTTTGATAATGTAAGCGAAAAATAAGAGTGGAATGACAATTATACCCTTTAATCATGAATTTTGAGAATAATTACTTTGTAATTAATTTTATACACCTACTCCTCTTTTCAAAGACAACCAAATTTACAACCATTATATTAATTGTCGATAGTCATCATATTTTCAAGTATAATAGATTTCTATTTTTTTTTAGTTCGGTATTTTGTAAAGTTTTTGACGAATATTAATTTAATATAAATTTACAACTATTTGTGGTGCAATTTTCATTGTCTTTTTTTTTTTTGGGCTTCATCTATGTTTTAAGGTTTATATATATATATATATATATATAATATTAATCTTAAAAGTTATAGACATGTGAGTTAACTTCTAGATTTAATTCCGAATTCTTCCTTTTAAAATATTGCAGAAATGACATTAGTTTTTTAGTCATTTTATGCTCGTGGATCATTGACCATAACTCTATAGTAGTCGGGGGGGGGGTTTGTCTTTAAAAAATAATAATAAAAAAAAACTCGAAAAGGGATTAGTGTTTAAGACATTGTTTGAGAACTTTTTGTGGTTATTCAAAATTAAATTAAAATGTTATGTGAATAGAAAATTTCGACAACATCGTGTTCTAACTACGTATTCACTCCAAACTGTGGATTATCAACCCCATACAAAGCCTACCAAATAGTTGATAGCTAATTCAACTAATTCTTTCAAAGATGCAGAATAGGCCATTTTCTAACAGCAATCACTTGTGATTGACTAAAATGTAAAAACAGCTCTGTGTTGAAACAGATATAGTGACTAGTATAATAAAATGATTAAAATCACAGCATCGAATGGCCTAACCCAATTCAATGTCAAAACACACAAGACGAATGAAGATTATGATGAAAAGCACGGAAAAGTCAGTTGCTTTATGTTTTTTGGCTTTTTGCTATAATATAGCCTGGCTTACGGATTCTGTACAATCCAGCTCCAGAGTTTTACAATCAAACGCAATCCAAGGGACCAAAAGTCAGTGTAAGAAAAATCTACTTTCCCCACGTCCTTTGATAAATCCAAAATTTGATTCCACTCGATTCCCTACACCTTGTTTGATTGATTTCCTTGATGCATCAAAAATCAAATTGATATCTATTTTTCATATCTTTCTTCCAACTGGAAAATGGGTAATGATTTTGCTGAAAATGAAGACCATCCTGATCTTGCAATCCAGGTTGGGGACGAAAACGAACATCTGTTGGAATTGATGGAAAAGAAAATCTCAGCGGCCCCCGGAATTCTTCGAAAATCAGCTGGCCGGAGTTCATGCTGCATTTTCAGAGCACCCAAAAGCTTTAACGACATAAACGGCCAGCAATATCAACCTCAGATAGTCTCAATCGGTCCGTACCACCACGGAAAGCCGGAGCTGGCTATGATTGAAGAGCACAAATGGAGGTTCTTGGGCATCTTGTTGAAACGAACAGAGGATAAAGGGTTGAAACTGAAGGATTATTTGAAGGCCGTAAAACCTCTGGTAGCAGAATCCCGAGATTGTTACGCTGAAGGTTTCCAGTTCAGCTCAGATGAGTTCATCCAGATGCTTGTTCTCGATGGTTGTTTCGTAATCGAACTGTTTCGGAAGTTTTCCGGGGTGGTTACATTCGATCGGGACGATCCTCTGTTTTCCATGTCCTGGGTTCTTTCGTTTTTCTTGCGGGATCTCATTCGCCTGGAGAATCAAATCCCGTTTTTCATCCTCCGGCGATTGTTCGAAATCACCAAGATGCCGGACGAGGAGGATTCAGGGCTTTCTTTAGGCCGATTGACTCTGAATTTCTTCAATTACGCAATACAGAGACCTGAATCAAGTTTAGAGCTGTTCAGCGACATTGATGGTAAGCATATACTCGATTTTCTCCGATTGAGTTTCATCCCGGTCGGAGACGAAGAGCCTAGAATCAAACCCGGCAAGTTTTCCGACGTCCGTTTAATTAATTGCATCTCCGACCTCCGTTGGGGCGGAATCCGTCTGAAGCCCGGAAACGAGGAGAGCTTTTTAGATGTTCGATTCAGAGGTGGAGTGATTGAGATGCCCAGAATTAGTCTGGATGATTACATGAGCTCCTTTTTGTTAAACTGTGTGGCTTATGAACAATGCCATGGAAACAGTTCCAAACACATGACTACCTATACTACGTTGTTGGATTGTCTGATAAACACCTCCAAAGATGTTAAACATCTGTGTGATTGGAATATAATGGAGAATTATTTTGGGACGGAGGATGAGATTGCGAAATTCGTCAACAATATGGGGAAAGATGTGGTGTTCGACATTGAGAGCTGCTATCTGTCGAGATTGTTCAGTGAGGTGAATCAATACTATCAGGAGGATTGGTATGTTCAGTTTTATGTGTTCCTTCATACTCCTTGGAAATTCGTATCATCTTTGGCTGCTTTTGTTCTACTGCTTCTTGCTGTTCTTCAGACACTTTACACTATCCTTAGCTATGTTCATCCCAAATGATTCTTATAGATTTCTGTATCAAATTACTCTCTTTGCATTTTTGTATATATCATCTTTTTGTATTGGTTCTTTGTTCCGACCATGAGTAACGACAACTGTAACTAATCTTTTTCGGTTTTTGTTAAGTTATAGCAATCTCGATAGATGGAATGTTTGGAATTTAATAAATGTAAATTAGACTTTCAATTTATTATTATATACTCCTTTCGTCCCATAATTAGTGTCCAGTTTAGATTTTCATTTTTAATTCAAATTGTACTAAAAATGAAATATCAAACTGGATAATAATTTTAAGACAATGAGAGTAATTATTACATTATAACATTGATAAGTCCTTTGGAAAATCCCTTCAAACTTATAAATTTTTACTATTACGTCAAACGAAGCTAAAGTACAAAAATTATGTCCAATTATTTATAACATTTTTTTTTTGGAGGAAAAAAATATTTATGTGAATAATCGTTGGTGAAGAGAAGCTGGTGCGTTATCTACGTAAACGAGTTGTGGATGACGCACAATCAACCTTCACCACAAAAACTATATATAACCATTTTCTGTATTAGTTTACAGTCTTGAAGCAAAATTGAAAAAAAAAATAAAAAAATGGTGGCTGTGCCCTCCTCCACGGCAGTAGCAACTACTACTAGTGCACATCTTTGTTCAGGGACAAACAGATTATTACTATACAATGGCAGTAGCACACGGGTCATTTCATTTTGTAGTGAGCATTTTGATTTTCCGGCCGTCAGAATGAAGCCGCCGAGAAGGGTTCGTCTCGTTGCGAAAAATTCAGGGACCAGTGAGGTTTCTGCAGATGCCGGAGAGGTGGAGGTGGAGGGATCCGACCAGAAGCTGGAACAAGTTCCGACCGGCGAGCCTTCTTTGATTTCTGCCCTCAACGTTGAGAAGGCTCTTCGTGGCATTGGTAAATTTAACTTACTGAACAATGATAACAAATAATATTTTATGTAAAATTTTTAGTGAAATGCATGATTGTCACATAGATTAGAAGATTAATACTCCCTCCGTCCCATAATTATTGTCCAATTTGAGTTTTCATTTTTAGTTCAAATTGTACTAAAAGTAAAATCTCAAACTGGACAATAATTTTGGGACAGAGGGAGTAGAACATTAAATATGAAATTCATATGTTCTTCTTTCTAGAATGCAGCAATTACTGATGCAGATCACTATGGAAGACTTGGACTTCAAAGAGGATGTTCTTATGATCAGGTAGCACATTAGTAGTCCCCCGGGGGTAATCATTGTCATCAGTTCAATCTTTTGGAGAAATATTTCAAGTTTGGCTGGATTTCATTGGTTTGGAAATATGTCAGGTGTCAATTGCATACAAGAATAAGGTTGAAGAAGTGATGAATCAACAGCTCCCGGAAGAAGAACTTCAAACCAGTCTTGATCAATTAAAGGTTCATTGCAAATTGATTCTATATATAATATATTGGCGAGACGCCTAGACACTCATCATTGGTGCAGCAGTAGTTTTGAGAGCATTTCTATATGAATTGTCTGAATTTGCATTATGTTAGGAATCCTTTCTGATTTTGTCGACCGTGGAGGAAAGGAGGCTATACGATTGGAGTTTGGCGAGAACTGAAAATCCAGACAGATACAAGTGGCCTTTTGAAGTTGACATTTCTCAAACTCCAAAAGATGGAACACCCCCTCCACAGGTAAACATTTACTCCATCCGTCCCGTAATTATTGTCCAATTTTATTAAAATAAAAAATTTAATTTTTGATCAAATTTAACTATATTTTACCTTAAACAACCGGATACACCCCTACATAAGTAATTGTTTAACCACTAAGATTTTATGGATAATGTTTTTTACTAAGGACAAATGTGTAATTTAATCAATAAAAAGTCAAATTACACAATAATTTTGGAACAAAATTTTTTGAACAAAATGGACAATAATTTTTTGTTCCAAATTTTCTTCTGCACCGAATTTTAGAAATGTAAATCGAACTTATGAGATCGATATAATCTAAAATTGATTATTAAGTTAGAAAATAATTATGAAACTTTAAATTTTTTTTCCTATTAATGTTTTAGTTTGCAAGATTAAATCATCTAATTTTTTTTATAAAATGTCTTCTTGTTCCTAATAAACTCCTTGTGACAGAATTTGTTTTCCCTCCATTAACCTCAGCCCAAATTTTCTATACCTTCTCAAGTTCTCATTATGCATCATTCCTCCTTATTTTTAAATTTTTTATTTACTTCCGCATGTTCTTACATCTCCATTACTTTGTACAGGAACCTGAAGATGTAGAGACAACAAGATTGGTTGGGTATTTCATATTAGGTATTTTTGTTCTATCAATTATCTTGTCAATTACCCTCAATCAACAATAAGATTGTGCTCACCGCATTGACTGTAAATTCGTATAAGTTTGTTGATCACCGCGAAGAGAGAAGGCGCTTGTTACTTGAGTTCTTTTGCTTTCCTTCCTACCAACTTTTAGCTTAGTTCATGTTAACCGAGATCTCCAGTGATGCTTAAATTAAATACTTCTTCCGTCCCATAATTATTATCCAGTTTGAATTTTTATTCTTAGTTCAAATTGTACTAAAAGTGAAATCTCAAACTGGACAATAATTTTGAGACAGAGAGAGTATGTTTTATTGTGTCAAGGCATTGTCAAGTTGGTGGTTAGATTAACGCTTGTCAAAATGTCCTTGTCTTCAAATTCATCGTCCAAGTTGAGCAAGCAAACTTCCAGCATAGGTACAATGTACAAACAAACTGCTGAATCATCTGAGTGTAGCAAAGCTTTGTAACCTGGAGACATGGAACCAAACATAGTCAGTGATAAAGATAATTAAAAATCATCCAACTCATAATCCATTCAATCCCACCTTATTGGATTGGATCAGGTATAGGCCAGACTTCCGGCAACCTTTATACAGACATATCTTAGGTAAGAGCCACGGCAGAATTACAATGGATAAAGATCAATCTGGGGAATACCCTGTGTTATGTAATACCCTTACCATTCCTTTTTTTTTTTTTTTGGGGGGGGTGGTGGGGGGCAAAAAAATTAAGACCATTTTCTCGTACAAATATCATCAGTGAATCGTCATCATTCAATCAAAGAAAGGCGCTATTTTTTTTTTTCCCATGGATAAACACTTTTGTGCATGTTGAAGAACTTCTACATACCAAATCTAAAAACCCATATTATCAATCATAAATGGAATCCCACCAGGTTATAGAGCGAAACAAACCCCAAAACAGGGAATATTCTTGTGCCCATTAAAGTTGCTAGAGGAAAAATTGCTTTTGGAAGATGGGCAAATATTTCGCTTTGTTATTGTTTTGGTTTAAAGGCAAAATACTTTAATTGCATTAAACAAAATGAACAATCGTAAAATGATGCATTAAAAACAATGGGAGAAACATTAAAACAAAAAACATGTATCAAAATAAGAATTTGAGTTATAAAAGAAAAAGACAAAAAAAAAGAAAAAAGAAAAAAGAGTTAGAATGCGAGAGACTATCCAGGAGAAATGCATAATGATTTCATTCGGGAAAATTTAGAACCTCCAAAGAATAATAATAATAATAATTGTTCACCATGTTAAAATAATGTTTAAAAATAATCCAAGAAATGATAAAATAAATAGATAAATAAAAGAACTGGAGCAGTGTTTTTGTTTGTTTTAATGGTGCTGGAGCAGTGTAAATGACAACTAAGCCACAAGAAATCATTGCAAAAATTTCACCACCCAACAAGAAAAAGAATTGGAAAGAGACAGGACAGGTAACTTTCAGTTGGGATACATAGGAGGAAAATTCAACTGAACAATGGCAAACACTTTCTTTTCTTTCTTTATGGAAAGAGAGTTCCGGCTACTTCTGAGGGGTGAATTATGCATACCAGTCAACTGAACAATGGCAAACACTTTCTTTTCTTTGTTTAATGGAAAGAAAGTTCTGTCTACTCCTGAGGGATGAATTATGCATATCAGTAAATCTCCTTTTCTTTCACCCCCCAAAATTGAACAGCTGGAATATTTCTACAGCTGAATTTCAGAGGCAGAAATGGTAGATGTAACTGTTCATTGGCAGCTTATTTGGACAGAATGTTTGGTCATAAAACATGCCTATAAAGAATTTAAATGACAACAGTTTTGATACCCAACAGTAGACTAGAAAGGATTTAAATGACACAACAGCAGCCACGAAAAGCTGTTCACTTTCCTTTTTGTGACGAGGAAGGTGAGCAGTGTCGTGACTTTAATTTTTGTGATGTGTAATGTGAGACAAGTGTCGTGACTTTCATTTTTGTGACGTGGAATGTAAGAAGAGTGTTTTGACTTTCATTTATGTGACGTGTAATGTAAGAAGAGAGCCATGACTTTCATTTTTGTGACGTGGAATGTGAGAAGAGTGTCGTGATTTCCTTCTTTGGAAGAAAGAAGAATGCAGATTTATCACACAACAAAAATACATACCTTTGTCTGCTTCATTCACCTCATTTACCTCAGTTCCAAAAGACGATGGATGGCAGCTTAGTATATCTAAGCACTTCAGAAGAATAATTTCAATTACCAACAGAAGTCCCACTGGTTAAAAACTTTTTGCTAGTATCCAAACCTCACACTAAAAATAGTGAAGAGGATCAAATTAGCAAAATAAGAAACAAACGTTAATCAGCTCGTTACTGTCCAAAAAGCTGACTCTTATGGATCTGAAATGACAAAAGCCAACAGAAGGTTGGAATTAGATCCTAAAAATACATAATTGCATCAGGAAAACTGTATGGGCCTATGCTTTTTTTTTTTTCTCCATATTCTACCTTTTGTAACTATATGTTTTTGTATTGCACTGTAAAACCCTTTAGAACCTCTAAAAGAAGTTGATACAATTTGACTGTTAATAAAAGAGTACGAGATGATTCACCTATGTCACATGCAACTCCATTTACAAATTTACCTCAAAGCCATGCACATTACTTGTTTTAGTGAACTCTCTTCTGTTTCCTGCTGCGACGATAATCTTCTTCACGGTCTTCATCTGAACAACTTACCGTCTGCTTCCGATCATCATAAAACTTGTGCTTCGAATCATGCCTATAATGTCTACCTTCTACATCTGACTCTCTATCTTTTTGATACCTTCTCTTGTCATCATTACCACTTGGTTCTCGATGAGACTCCATGTGATGGTATTGTTTCTTGTGAGAATCTCTAATATCCGAATCAACCCTACATCTAGCATCAGCTTCTTTGGTAGATTTATGATGGTGACCCCGACTAGAATCACTACAAGACGCCTGCCTAATCTCACGGTGTATTTTCGAGCTACTAAGATGTTGGTGTTTAGACAACTCTTTACTATGATGCTTATTAGTATTAGTATGCTCTAGACCTAGATCGGATCGTTCTGAGGGGTAGGACCTTCGATCTTTTCCAGAAATAGAGGAACGAGAGCTCTTTTCATGAAAATCATCAAATGAGTATGTATCCGAATTTCCATGCTGGCCAAGATGATTTTTCTTGCATTGTTTACGTGCAACCCTGTCTTCTGGATAACCCCCACTTGCCTCCCTGTCTTTGTAAACTCTATACTCATGCGACTTGTCAGGTTCGCAATATTGTTTGCGCTCATGATAATTATCTTCATCATCACCATTTTGTCCTCTGTAGAAGTTTTGGACAACGTCAGAATAAAAATCATTAAAAGAAATGAATAAACAATAGAATACAAATAAAGGTTCAGGAAAGTCCAGTCACCCAGAATAGAAACATATGTCATCTGTACCAAGAATAAAAACACAGATTTGCAGACCAGACAAGGAAATGAACAGAAATACACTCCACATTCGACAATATGTAGAAAACAATAATCTGAAGGAGCCAAAGAGGCTCCACGCCGTTACAGAGACTTGAATCATGTTACAAAATAATGTGTAATTGCAAGCTTTATCAAGCATATCACATCAAATAGGAAAGTGAAAGACCAAATCTAGGAAAGAGAGAGATATTCTCATAACAGAACAGCAAATTGAAGAAAAATGAACATTTAATCCTCAGGCATCATCGTAAGTTAAACCTGCCTCAGATGGCAAAAAAGATCTAGACGTAGAAAATAGTCACAACCATGCACAAGGCGAATTACCTGCCCAGAAATTCATAGGGGAGCTTCCGTTTCTTTTCAGCATAATGGAGCTCCACATCAGGATGAGGAGGGTGTTCGGCACTGCTTACTCGAGGTTGTGGCAAATTTTCTGGTCTGATAGGTCCCCTGAAAGAAGTTTAACATGTAGTTTCACATGTATTCAGACCGATAAGCAGCCTAACAACTATAAGGAGAACAAAGTTGACATATGATCATGAATCAAACTCACCTAGTAGCTAACCCGTACATATTAGGAACATAAGGAGCACCACCATATGTAGGAACTAGGGGAGCATTGAAGGGCATCATTGCAGGGTTGCCATACATATCTCGGAAGGGCCTAAAAGAGGGGTATGCAGCGTGATGCCAGTACTGAGGGGCGTAACTGCTGATTCCCCCTTGAAATACATTAGGTCCTACTACAAGAAAAGCAGAGTTACAACCAGCTCTCATTGATAAAGTTTTTTAGAGGGAAACTGAAGCCATACCTGTTTGAAGCATAGGTTGAGGACATGAAGAAAGGGGACAGTCTCGGATGAGATGCTCAGGAGAACCACACATATAACAAGTCCGTTTTCCCTGATTCCATGAAGATATGATCCAGTGAATAAAAAGCGAAAAATGATTCTTCATGGATGCATCAAAATAGGACTCATGTAAAGTTGAGATTGAAACACAGGGGACTATTATTATTTAGTCAATAACAACCAATTATTTCACTTTTATCACTCCTTACGGCTAATCTACGTTCACAAGCGCAAGGAGGCATCTGGATCCAACAATCATGTTTGGAACCAGAGAAACAGATTTCATAGATTCACCCACCTCCCACTTTGGAATGGTGAAGACACAACACAATCAATTAAAGAAAGTTAAAAAATACTCGATATCAAGGAGATTGAAAAAGCTATAAATTCGCTCCTAAAATTATATTTCAACACCTCCAGAGCTAACATGAACATCACAGACTCAATTTTTTAGTCAGTAGAACATCGATCTAGGACATAACATATTTATGCTAAGTAAGCTATTCCAGTTGATCAAACAACTGCCTCCAAAAAACCTTTTTGCAGTGCCACGGGACGATGATAATTATTAATCCATAATGAAAAGAAGGCTTGGCTTCGGTGAATCGCCAAATTCGGCATACATACAGGTATCCTAAGGTTTACACAGATTAGTATATTCCAATAAGTGCAGATTACGATAGAGTAAAATGAACCACAATATAAATAATCAAAAGATAAAGTTACGAAAGCTATTAAGGTAACATGAGCCGCAAGCAGCATTGAGAGGACCGCTCAATTGCAAATTTTTTTTGAAACAGCGATAGAGTACAAAGAGAAACTATAGATACTATAAAATATTTCTAAAAAATATATGCAATATTTGGAATTATTTTCATACTACGACTAGGTGAAATTGAACAACGTAAAAAGAACCACTGAAATAGAATATTAACACATTAAGAGATTTGGACCCATGTAGTTAGATGCAAATAACAACTAATATCCAGCTCTACACTGTATCTGCGCCTCAAGTATTACAACCAAAAATTTTGGAGCATAATACCAAAGAGAAGAAAAGAAGTAATGTTATTTTGCACAACCAGAATGACAGGAGAAAATTTTGACAACAGCAGACATTTGAAGGATCCAGTGAGCAAGCAATTCAATGTTTAAACATCCAAAAGTTACAAACCATCACAGAGTGTATGAAACAATTTTGGCTGATAATGGATTCAAAAATTACCTTATGTGGTCTACTGGTACCTAGAAAGCTTCCATCTCCACCTGAAAAGGCAAACTGATATTAGATATGGCTTCAAATGCGGTACATCTACCTTTTCAAGGAGAGCAGACTTTACCTCCAGGATCAACCCACATTTCTCTCTTTCTATTACACGTCGAATCAGCTGCATCCAAAATGAGAAGAAAGCAAGAAGTTTTATATCAAAATTGGCAGTGCTCAAAGACAGAAAGAATACTAAGATCACAGAAAATTGCCCTGATCACCCCCAAAAACAAAACACGAGAGGTTCTTAAGATAGCCGATAATGATGCTACTGGACGAGAATACATGGCATGAATTCGCCGGAAAAAATTCTTCTTTTTTCTTATGTTGGATCACTACATTTAGAGCTTGGAAGCAGAAAATAATGGAGAATCATTGCAACTAGCAATATCATATAACTTTACTTCTTCCAACAAAGAGGAAAGACTTCAAAGATGATGAGGTACATGGACCAAAAGACCAATGCAGAAGCAGCTACATCCATGTAGCAATGCATCCAAGATATTCAAAGTTCAACTATGAAGTTCAAAAAGTTTTTTGTTACTTCACATTGCCAAAACTGGGGCCAAGACTGCAAATTAAATGTGTAATTCAAAAACCATACCGATAACAGTCATATGCATCAAAAAACATATTAATTGAACAGTACTAGATATATTTCCTACAAATCTTCATCCAATGTTTGCAGAATGACAATCACATTTGAAGGATCAGGCTACTCCAATTCAAGAACTCCCACATGCTACTTCAAAAATATACACCCTAGTCCCTCCATTTCCAAATATAGGTCATCTTCGGGGAAGAAGTGTTTGTCTTTTTATTCGTAACTTCAGAGAGTTCCAATGCCATATTAGTCACTTTTCTTCCAATTTTACTCTCATCGCCTCTTCACTTTTTAATAGCTTACCTTAATGGCAGCCTACTCACTCTCATTTGGTACTTGTAGTCCCGATACGAATTAAATTAAGGGTAAAAAAGGATATCAATGTATGAATTAAATTTCAAATGAGTGGCTTCTTAATATATGTCTGTTATAACTAAAGTGACTACGTTTTGGAGCGTAGGGAGTATTATTTTACCAGTTACCATATTACAAAATATTTTACCATATTACAGGTATCAGCAACTAGTTGCACTATTGTAGGAGATATAAATAAATAAGTTCAAGAAGCCATACCTTCATCACAAACATTATTCTGATGCAGAGTATTTTCACCCTGAAAACGAGCAGCAGAATCCACAACTTTACTTCAACTTCAGAACTTACACGGTAAGAATTAAAAACCACTTTTTCCATCAATATCTTATACCTTCTGCACTTTAGGAGCCAGTGATTCTCTTCCAGCAGTTAAATTTTTGAAATTATGGTCATATGGGCCAAATGATACATTTCTCCTTAAAGCTGGATTATAGAATGACTCAGGCAAAACTACGTTTGATCCTTGTCCAGTTGCGGTTGGTGAATGAGGTAGTTCTGGCTCTCTCTGAATCACAGTTACAGTACATGAAACCTCCTTAGCTTGAATTCCAGATTCTCCATCTGTTTCAACATATTAACATAATTCACAATCTAAATAATAGGGTTTTTTACCATCCAAATTTTTACTTTTAATATGATGATGCAAGCTGTTACCAGGGGCATATTTGTTGAAATCATTTTCTGCAGCATCTTGAAGATTTTGAGATTCTAGAAAATGTTCAACTGCATGCCTCAGCGATAAATTTGGCAGCAAATTTTCCACATTACATTTGGCCGAAAAACACTTAGGGCACCTAGCTCTTTCAACCAGAACCTGTCGTATGCCTACACCACATTGAGAGAGAGAATCCTTCAGTACAGATTTCAGCTATGATTCCATTTAGAATGGCATCACACTTTCAGATGTAAGAAAGGTATTATTAAAATCAGTTAACGAGACAAAACCAACTCACATTTTTCACAAAAGCTGTGTTGGCAGCATGGTATCATGACAGCATCTTTGAAGTAAGTGTTGCAGAGAGAACATTTGAACTCAGATGGCAAACTCGAATTTTGCACAGCTGTAGTATTGGTGTAGAGTAACCTTGATTTTCACAAAGGGTAACAGATTAGGAGAAGTTACAGAAGGCCTCCCTAAAATTATACACAACACATAGGAAGCAGGAAAAAATAGACACCGTACTTTTCCAATTTCAGCTGCTCTTCAGCTCTTTCTTTGTCAACAGTTTTCCCTTTACTCCCAAGAGCTGAGTTTAACATTAGAGGGTAACATGTGAGAGCAAAAAAACAAAAAAGAAACAAATCTAGTAATACACTTTGCAGCAGGGCAAATCACCTGGTATGGTCTGTTCAACTGGCTGAACCTTAGCAGCTTCAGGCCTGCATCACCAGAAACAATTCAATTTACCACTAGCATTAGCAGATGACAACCTCCAATGAAAATTCCACAAGTAGGGAAAAGAACAGCGGAAATGTTCAGGAGATAAGCTTGTTAAAGGCATTTCTAAAAAACATTTTCCCAAGCCAGGTATGGACCGTTAGTCATGCTTGTGGATTGGGATGAAGATGAAAATGTGCACAACAATAAAAAGATCGGCATACCTTGGCCCAGTAACATTTGCCTTATCATCAACCCCAGATATCTTCTTTTCATAGTCCAGATCCAAGCAAGGTGTTTTCGCTTGAACAAGATGCAAATGAGTACCAACGTCAGCAAACTTCCCCACTTCGTCCGTCTACAAAAACAATAACGGCAAGTATAAGGAGTTACATAATAATGTTGATCAAACTAAAAAGAAACCACCTTCATCAGGGGAATCCAGTCTGCATGACAAAAGTTAACTCAAAGGATGAGAAGTGTGAAAAATATTCAAACAATTTCAAAAATGGTTGTCAGTTATTGTGTCAATTGCTTCAATCCTTGAGCCGCGTACATCTTAAATTGTGTAATAAAAGAAGTCCTCAGAGTTCAGACACAATATTGAGAACAATACAAGCACCGCAGGAGTGGTAGTATCAACAACGTCCAACGATAATCAAAATAATAAAGCTGATAGAGCCATTCTTATTCTTCATTGTCAATTTAATCATGACCATATTGACAAGGAGTGAAAACTGAATATACTAAACAAACTTACAGCTGAATATTTCGTATGTAAACCCTTCACCGTGAAACTCCCAGCAGCCTCAATGGGCACCCTGATGATGATGTCAAATTACGTGAGAAAAGCATCAAAAAGTGAAAAATAAGGAAACAATTTCATGAGTCATACTTGACATTCAAGTAACAGCAGCGCCGATTTTTACAAATAAACATTACAGATCAGGTAACTTGCTAGTAAAGCATAAGTTATAATAAATGAGTTACTAAAATTATATGACAAGAAGATTAGAAATGGATGGAAAGTGAAAACATGAAACAAACCGAGCATGATGACCAAAAAAAAACTTAAACAAGAACATAAATGATTCCTGGAAAAAGGATAGGAAAAAATGGAAAAGTTGGAAGGACTAAATTAAGTGTCCAGGAGCTAAATCAGATAGACGAAAACAATAATGGACTAAATTAAGTGTCCAGGAGCTACGTGGTCAGAAGGCTTGTGAGGTACAGAATGGGAATGGAATGATTTATGCTGTACAAGGGAATACTTAATGAACAGTGTAACATTCCAATTGTACTGATTTCCAAGAGACCAGAGGATTTTGGGTAAGGGATAATTTATTAATCTATATCAAAAGAGCACGTCTTCTTTTCCCACTTATACTTGCAGTCATTGATCTATCTCATCCTCATGCCTCCTCGATCCTCTATCATCTCACTAAAATCTTCCGGCCTGTCTTCTTTCTCATCACTTGTCTCCATTCTCCTCTCACATTCTGATTCCTTTCTTTCCTCTCATCTCTATATCTTTCTGTACCTTTTTAATAAATATTAAAAAATACTATGAAAATTAAAAGATATAGGGGCAGACCAGAAATCTCGCTCATTCATGCGATCAACCAAGCCTTGGTCATGATAATATTCATGGGACTGAATCAAGAAGCATCATCAAACTGAAAATTTATAATCTTTCACCCAACTGAAATTCCTATTCCTGTTCCCATTACCCCATAACAAAAGTTCACCCTCAAATAAAAGTGGTTAAAGAGGCCTGAGTAAGAAAGTATGAAAAAGGAAACCATATAGGTTCCTATACAGCCAGCACCAGCATGTGCTTCTGCTAAACCTTCGACCTAGAGAAAGTACTACTTCATCATCCACTTCTCTTTACTGGCACAACATAAAGACATCTTTTGGTTAAACGCCAATCAGCATTTTAAGTCATGCAGTGACAGCTGATAAAAACACCGAGAGAACAAAATAGTAGAAAATATTTCTTTGTACCTGCAAAAGCTTAGATTCAAAATCCATTCCGGACAGTAAATTAAGGGATCAATCTTTTTGGGCGTTCATTAATACTCCTTTTCTTTTCTTTGCTATCTGGACCTACTCACTGATTATTTATGCCACAACACATCTCAGATATCCATTTCCCACTCAATTTTCAGTATTACTACTCGAACAACAAATTCTTTGCCACGCTAGCATGATCTACAAACACAAAGGAACATCATTGATTGTCTGTGCATTCCAGATGCGTGACATTAAACCACATCAGCAGTATCCTCTACTGAGAGATGCTCATAAAGTGTGCCATAAGAATGCATAAGAAGCAACACAAGATCCCTCCACTCAAAGAAGCAACTCCCATTGTCAGTTATCCATAAGAATGCAGAAAAGTTGCGGAAACAACACAAGAACTTATGACCATCGTAACCAGAAAATATTTCGCTTCTTATGTTTAGCATATCAAAAGGAGTCAGGTGAGTTCAGGTGAATAGAGATTTCAAAAGAGTGTAGTACAAGAAATGGTCATTTCAGCAAGGTTGACCGTTTATTATTCTCAACAAAGAATTCGGACAAGGACTACCATATGACCCGAGTAAGAAATTTTTGTGTCACCAAATAATGCTCTTTTTTTATGTTCCTCGAGGAAGACAACAGATGAGTTTTTCTGAGAGTGGTTTAATATTTTAAAGCACGGTAAATAGGAACGTCACGTGCATAAATGCTGTTAAAAAGCACGTTTAAACAAAGATTCACGTGCATATCAAATAAGGGCAAGGCTGCGCAAATTAGTACAATCATAAATAAGTATGAGTTGGCAGTGATGAATACACTTTTGGGCAGCCAGGAAATGGTAATTAAGTACTAGACCTAATTTGGTGAAGTTTAGGGCACCCCACTTCCCAGTGTGGTAGTTCTAACAGACACCTATCGGGTGATCTTTAAGCCATCCATCCAACTCCACATTAAATTTGATACCTATTAAAGGTGAATTATAGGGTATCCAGCCATTTCACTGCGAATTATATATCTACTACTGCGAATAATAGGATTTGATGTAACTGTACCCAATCAGAAAACGATCCCAGTTACAGAGGGTCAATGTGCACATTCAAATCAGTTTTTGCCCAGTTTTGAATACTTTCAAAAGCCAGTTGAACATCAAATTGTTGCCCAAACAACCTCCCAAATACGTAGAAAGGAATTCGCTAACAAACACAAACATGCAATCAAACAGCACAAAATTCATCAACAAAAAAAGGATAAAATGACTTGCCCAGGAGAACGTGCTGGAATCCTCTTAACGATCACACTTGAACCACTTGGGATTTGGAATTTTTCGTCATCATATTCTACAAAGAAACAAATTGGTCCAAATCATCAAGAGAAAAATACAGTCCTATCATTTTTTTGTTTGGAAATAAAACGGTGAGCTGGAATTCAAAGATAAATTAAGCAAGATGGGAATCTTGATTGAAAAACCTTGACCAGAAACGGCGTCGGAAAAGATGAGGTCAAAATCTTGGCAGATGTTGAGGTTTTTCTGCCGAATGATTTTCGACCGCAACTCGCCCACCGAGATGGACGACCGCCCGTCGATGTCGACCGTGTCGTAGTCGACGGAGCTCCGGAACTTGAATCGAATTGACATCGATCCTAACACCGACTCAATCAAATACAACTGGAAAGATTTACAAGGGATTCTGGTCCGGAAATCAGAAGGAAAAATATAGGGATAAAAGAAATAAACCGCTAAATCTCTGTCTGTGAAGTTTTGCGGTGGTGTGTGTGTGTGTGTGTGTGTGTTTTTTATTTTTTGTGCGTGACCCGTATTTATTGTGCCACCTCAGACCTTCAGTTTCAAGACAAAACGAAACCATGTGCATGTCACGTGTATTTCCCTTATTTCTTTTTTTTTCCCTTTATTTATTTACTCTCTATATTTTACATTTCATACGGTATACTATAGCAACTACAATGGCTTAACAATAACTTTTACTGATTGTTAAATACAATTACTATATTGCATATAATACTAGTGGTTGGTAATTTTTTTTCCCTTTATTATTGTGTAAAGATTTATCAGGTTAGGTATAAAGTTACTACATAATAACAAGGTACTATAATAACACAACATATTTCTTAAATCATCTAAGTTCGATAATTAGCGATTCTTTCACATTCTAAGTTACTAGTGTGACAAAAACTATCAACTGTGAAATTGTAATTGTCACCGACTAGCTCTACATCAATGACTAGCTCTACAACGATGAAAGCGAGAAATTCATATAATACAAAAAGTACAGTAAATAATCAACGATACTTTTTTAACAAATAAAATTTCATCAATTTTTTTTTTTTTTTTTGCATTTTCTCCATGTGTCTCACATGCAATACTAGATATTTCAACTCTACGTCATCATCACTTATATTGTTTTTATCTCAAGTTACCAGTTCAGCATCGGTTACATAATACTCCCTCCATTCCAAAATAAATATCGTCCTACACTTTGCACATAATTTAAGAAACTCTTAAATAAAGTAATAAAATTACTTGAATATCCTCAACCAACCCCATTATAAGATTGTCCACCAATAGCATCAACTCTTTTGAGGGTAATTTTGGAAACTTTTGACAAAAAGTGCATTGAAATGTGAGAACGACACTTATTTTGAAATTTCTCCATTTTGTTAAAACGACACTTATTTTGGAATGGATGGAGTACTCATAAATTTAATAACCCATGGTGGAATCCAGTTGGCTAAGCTCCTCAAAAATCATTCTAACAATGCTTAGATTATTAACTTTCTCAACTTTTCTTAAGTCCAAATCTCAAACTGGGTTGTGTGAGAGCAAAATTAGGTACCTTTTTCCGGTCCAACATAATTTTTTGAAGTCATGGGGTATGTAATAGTATTGAACTTCATTAAAAAAGTAACAGCGAATGTCATATTTATTGGTAAACAAACAAGCGTAAATGTTTAAATTTAAAATGTATGGTCCAGTAAAAATTATTAATTTTGACAATCTATATACTAGTCTCTCGGTTAAAATGGTTACTAATTAACGTTCTTATAGAAAACATATTTATTGGGTCATCGTCAAATTCCTTCATTTTCATTTTACCAGTAACCAATAATAATAATAATAATAATAATAATAATAATAATAATAGAACACAAACCATCAATTTTACGTCTTCAGGGCCAAAAATAACATTTATTTAAGAAGTTTATTCATTTGCTATTTTTCTCTTTCACAACGTACTTTTACTACCAAAACAAATCTCAAGTACCAAATGACCATTACAAACTTAATTTGGAGGATTAATTGCTTGAATGGTCGAACTAGTTAAATAGTCGAACTAGCTAGTTAGCTAGACACAACAAGACTTCGATCTTTTGCATCTTTTTTTGTAAAACTTTTTTCTTTAATGTAACTGATATTTGGTCAAAACATGCACACAAAAATCATAATTATAATTTGGACTTCATTCATGCCGTGGTAGGTTTAAGATTCGTTAAGTTTTGTAATTTTCTCATTCTAGACTTCTCTTTCTATTTAGACCAAAACATACCCAGAACTCTTCTCCCCCAGAGAGCTTTATTTTTAATTATTCTGCAGTTTTTTTTTTTTTTTGGGAGTTTTAGGTCTTCTCTGTATAGAACTTTTATCTTAATTTCTCTTGGGAATTTTTGCCCTTTTATTGTTGAGGTTCGAATATTTATGAAAGTTACTTCTTTAATGTATAAAGAATTTCGTGTGCTTCTTCATTCAACAGATGTTGGGAAGAAGTTAAAGGTCTACCAACCGCCGGGAAACAATATATATATATATATATATATATATATATATATAAGAGGAAATTAAAAGAACATGCACTCAAAGATTACCGGCCGGATGAAAAATTTTCAGATTGATCGTTTTATGTCACAACAACAAATTTATCTCAACTGTTATACAGATTCCTCTTTATAAAGTTTTCATAAATTTGTACTGTAATTTTCTCCCACCAATCAGTGAAGTTGTTAAAGTCATGCTCAATTAATTTTTTGACATACGTATATAATAGGGACGGTAAGTCGGACTTGAGCTTAAATCAAGTCTGCACACATATATATATATGTATATATATATATCAGATTGTTGTAATTCAGCCTTAGTTTTTGGTAGCTATCGTTTTAAGTGGATGGAAATTTTAGTATGTTCCCTTTTAATGTATGTATTGTCGTCTGTGAAAGGGGGAGAAAAAAAAGAAAAAAAGTTTAAACTTGTACTTCATTAATAGGACCGAAAATGAAATAGCGCAAAGTGGAGATGAAATGTTGTAGAGTCTATAAATTCTACTTACATTTTTTGTATCATATATTGGAAGGAAGCCAACCACTAACAAATTTCAACAGTTCAAATTAGTAGTGATATCAGCATGAATTAAGGATTCAACCGAACAGAACTGGTTGAAACATAGCTACGTACGTACGAGGTAATTGATGGTTTTGTTAATTGTCAAATTGTGACTTTATTTTGGTGTATTGGCCATTTGTTTCTGATTATGTAAATAACCAGCAGCAAGTAACTTTTGTTCCCTTTCTCTCGAATTCCATCAAATAGACTAAAAAAAAAAAAATGGTTAGTGGCCTTTGTCACCTTCATTTGATTAAGTTAAACGTTTCCAAACTTCCACAATTAGTAGTGTACTTCCCTACTCCAGTGATGATTATAATATTTATATACTATAAGATTCCTACTTAACCGGAAGGGTTTTGTGAATGATGCCTTTACCATTGAACGACAACATACTTATACAGTTTCCATCCTAATTAATTAATTATTAATATATGTAAACTAAAAATTGTAGGAATCTATTTGCATTGGCTAATAGCATAAGTAGTCCGATAAAAACAAAGGTCAATATAGTTGTCCTTGTGTGGATGTGATGCTTAAATCATGACGGAAACATAATATTTATGTGCCTTTTTCATCGAACTGGACAAAAAATGCTGAGCTAATGTTAAGCCCAACGTAATAATAATTGCGCAAGTTCCATCCAAACATTGATGATGTCACTGTCGGTCATTTCATTACCGAAGTAACCCAATCTATTTACTTAATCTAAATGTCATTATGCTTTGGCCCATCGAACGACGTATAAATTAATCAAATCAAGTTCATGTAACATATGAATAGTATGATTTGACGTAAATGTAACTTGTTTTTTGGTCCTAAGAATAAAATGTATGGACCAATTAACCTAATTGGCCTGTTTATAGTAACCACACATTGTTTGCATCTCCTAAATAAGATTATCTCATGCCTTATGCTATCTTCGTCCCAGAAAAAAATAATCCACATTGAATTTTTTAATTTTTACTAAAAACAATACAAAACTCAAAATTCGATGTGAACTATTTTTATGAGATAGAGAAAATATATTATATAATAAATAAAGCAAATAATTTTGGGACGAGAGAACTTATCACTTTATATATCTTCTCTAGTTCATCAGGGAGTACGCGACCAGGAATGAAAATGGATAGCCTCGTTATTTTTATTCTTTCTTTCATCTTTCCTACATTTTTCATCATCTGGGCCGTTGTTATTAGATGTTTTGCATCAAAAAGATCCAAAAATCGTCCTCCGGGACCAACACCGTTGCCGATTATCGGAAACCTCCATTTACTAGACCAACAGCTTCACAAGTCACTAGCAAAGCTGGCCAAAATTCACGGCCCTATTATGAGTTTACAATTCGGTCAAATATCAACCGTGGTGGTTTCTTCCTCGGCATTTGCCAAACAAGTCCTCCAAAAACATCATTTAGATTTCTCCAGCAGATTAATGCCCGACGCCGTCCGTGCTCATGATCATTTCCGGTATTCCGTCGCGTGGCTTCCGGCTGCCGGCTCCGACTGGAGAAGCCTTCGCAGGATCATGAACTCTTACATGTTTTCGGCCAACCGGCTGGATTCTCATCGCCGGAAAATATCTGAAAAGGTCCAGTTTGGAAACCAAAACCATCCTTAAATAATGAATTTCTATTTTGATTCATTAAAATTTAGTTCGTTTCAACTTCGTTTAGTACATGATTGTCTAAATAAGTTAATTTTGTTATATTTGTTTATCAAATAAGTTTATTTTTTGGTATTTTAGAGCCTACATTACGTAAACAAGCTTTCAAATAGAGTGGATGAGAAATATGAATTTGTTACAACTCCTAGATTTATTTCTCTTTAATTCATACAGATGTAATGAATTACTAGCTTCTGTTTTTTGCATGTGTCACATCATTCACTTTTTCTATTATTATTAGTCGGTTTTAAAATATGAACATATTAATTTGTTCATGCAGGTTCTAGAATTTATTGAATACTGCAGAAAGAAGTGTGAATTACTTCTGTTTTCTGCATGTGTCACATCATTCACTTTTTCTATTATTACTAGTCAGTTTTAAAATATAAACATATTAATTTGTTCATGCAGGTTCAAGAACTTATTGAATACTACAGAAACAACGGTGAATTACTTCTGTTTTCTGCATGTGTCACATCATTCACTTTTTCCATTATTACCGTCGGTTTTAAAATATGAACATATTAATTTGTTCATGTAGGTTCAAGAACTTATTGAATACTGCAGAAAGAACTGTGAAACCGGCAAGGCGGTGGATATCGGCCAGGCCGCCTTTACAACTTCCCTAAACTTGCTCTCCGACATCATGTTCTCGGAGGACCTAACCGACCCTTCGACCGATTCGGCGAAAGAATTCAAGGATCTGGTGTGGAACATGATGGTGGAGGCGAGTAGGCCTAACGTGGTTGATTTCTTCCCCGTACTTAAAACGTTTGATCCTCAAGGTGTACGGCGTCGCATGACTAGTCATTTCGGTAGGGTCCTTGAGATGTTTCGAGGTTTGATAAGTGACAGATTAACAATGGTAAAGAACAAAGAATGTGCAGGTTCCAAAAGGATGGATGTGCTGGATGACTTGCTTGATTTGTGTAAAGAATCTCCAATGGAGATCGACAGAAATCTGATCGAGCATTTGTTCTTGGTTGGTATTTCTTTGCACTTCTTCTTTATTTACTCTCACACACACACACATATGTATAATTTTTATTTCTTCATTAGTTTGCTAATCGAGCTTTTGTAACGTATATTCATCCGTCTCATTTTAATAATTTATTTATAAGGTTCATTTTGGTTGGTAATGTACATGAATGCTTGCATTTTTTTTAACACGCGTGCGGTATAAATAATTGCAGGACTTATTTATTGCTGGAACAGACACAACTTCAAGTACATTAGAGTGGGCAATGGCAGAACTACTAAAAAATCCATCAACCTTGAAGACAGCTCAAGCCGAAATTAAAGAAGCCATTGGAGGAAGAGGCAAACAAATAGAGGAAACTAACCTACCTCACTTGCCTTACTTGCAATGTATAGTGAAAGAAACCTTAAGAATGCATCCACCGGTTCCGATAATTCCCCGGAAAGTGGATTCCGATGTTGAGGTTTGTGGCTACGTTGTTCCAGCCGGATCGCAAGTTCTAGTGAACGCATGGGCCGTCGGCCGAGATGAATCCGTTTGGGAGGATGCGTTGGTGTTTAAGCCGGAAAGGTCCATGGAATGTGATAGTTTTATTATCCGTCCGGACCGGGATTTTGAGTTGGTTCCGTTTGGCGCTGGTCGAAGAATTTGTCCTGGATTTTCATTGGCCATGAGGATTATTCCGGTCGCACTCGGTTCAATGATAAATGTGTTTGATTGGAAACTTGAAGATGGGAATGAGCTGAAAGAAGAGTTAAACATGGAAGAGAAGTTTGGCATTACGCTGAGGAAGGCACATCCTCTTCGGGCTATTCCAATAGCTATCTAAGATGCACATATATAGTTCTTTTGAGTAGTGTATTATCCCCGCTTTATTTTCCCTCCTTATTTTTTTTCTGTAAAATGTCGTGATTTTCAAACGCAACTTACTGAGATGTTAAGAGGAGCTCCTACACATATATACATGTATAATGTATCATTTCATTTTGGAGCCTATTTCTCTATTAGACTAAGCAATTGGCCTACAATTTGAAAATTAAATGTTTCCACAAAAATGAAAATTACGTGAGTGTTTATTTTCAAGATAAATTCGTGTTTCTTGTATAATCACTGATACACTAAAAAATCGGTAATGTGAATGCATTTAATATTATCTTGGAGTGTTTTATGTAATGTCACAAATTTCGAATGTATTTAAATGGGAATCATGGGAACGAATAAACTCTCTACTCTCTTATGTTAAGATTTGTGCTTTGAGCCAATTTTGCTAGACTTGCCACTTAGCAGGCCGAGGTTCTCTCGCAGTTGACTTCTTTGTGAAACTCCAACTCTATCACTCTTCCGGTCTTCTTCCCTAAACCTCAAATGCGCACTCTTCTCTTTCAAGCCTAAAATAGGATGTGTGTTCTACAACTTTTGGCTCCCATGCACTCAAGTCTTTTTGCTCTGATTCAGAATTTTCAGTTTTGGGGTCACTGGTTCGTACACTCACATAAGCAAACGCAATTGCGAGTTTGCAAACGAGTGATGATCCCTTACGCATAAACTATAATGGTTCTTTCCCATAATTTTTAAGGGAACGTTGATCCATAAATGAAGCTGTTCATTCCAAAATCCCAAAGAAGGAATATAACAAAAAGGTGTAATAACGAAGCGAATATAAAATACTAGCTAACTTATTAGTCAAAAAGGAAAAAGGCGTCCCTAAATTCTCAAAATCCTCCCCCAAAAAAACGAACCAACAAAATCTCCCTAATTCTCGTCCTACTAGATTCTGAATGTCATTAATCACATAGAACATCAACCAAATCAATCAATCAAGCAGAGCATCATTCCCATTACCATTACCATGCCTCTCTTCTACTTCTTCATCTTCTTCCATTTCCTCCACACTATAATTCATTGGATGCTGACCCTCATCGATTCTCTGAATAATGCTTCCTTGCTTCACCTCTTCAATGGTGGGACCACCTGCTTTCATCCGGTCTCCAGGGGAAACAAAGGCTTCATTTTGCTTCACAAGGACCCCATTTCCATTACTACTACTAAAGGGATTAATATTTCCTTGTCGTTGTTGATGATGCTCTGATGAAGAGCTGCAAGAGTTTGAGCCACCATATATGAGTAAACCCGAGGATTTAGAATACAGCTGGTCCAGCTGATCAAAATACCTACAAGTCTTGTTCATCTTCTTCCTAAACTTGGGATTGGAGGAGGAGGAGCTGTGGTTTTCCTTGTATTTCTTGAAGTACTTGTTGATGTTTTCCCACTTTTCTTTACACCTCTTGGCAGTTCTGTGGTATCCCATTGAGCCCATCATTTTGCTTATCTCCTCCCAAAGTGGCCCTTTGTAACCTGGCCCTTGAAACTTCTTCTCTAAGCTCATCCTTAATTGAATCAAGGCATCTACTTCAACTGGAGGCCATCTGTTTTTCATCAACCTTAAACTCCCCAAATCATCACCACCTCCTCTGCTCCCTCTTGAGCTGAGCTCATTTACTGACGAAACTCTCATTCCCATTCCCGATCTTGTTCTTGTTTCCTCGGGTTCAATCAAGCTGGAAGGAAGCTCAATGCTTTGGCCAGTGATTTTCTCCAGATAGGAAACAATAGAAGCCTCCCTTTGTGAAGCTAAGGCCCTCTCATTAGCCCTCAATGCAGCTTCTTGCTCCAGCCTTTCCAGCTCTTTCTGCCTCCAAACTCGCTCCCTTTCTTTTCTTTCTTGATCTAACTTGTCAATGGCCGCCATGAATTTCTTGTGGATGTTTTCTTGGTGCTCCATGAGTCGATAAACTAACCCTTCGAAAAAAACAGCCATCGAATTCATCTCATCATCCCTAATCTTCTCATCATCAGCGGCATCAACCGTTCGCGAAGGCAACTCATCACCACCACCATTGGTATCCTCATTTGTTTTTGTAGGAGGCAAATTCGGTGCAGCTGTAGTAGTAGTTTTAGCTGCAGCAGCAAAAGCTTCAACTAATCCACCATCATCCCTATTAGTACTAACCTTATTGGCAGAAGCAGCAACAGCAGTTGCAGTTCTGCATAATTCTTGAAGCTCACCAAAGAATTTGTTCCCATTCAACTGATCAGAAGGTTGCTGCTCCATTTCTTTATCCTTCATGTCATTAGCCCCTTTTTCATTTCCAATGGTATCTGAAATTGGCTCCCTACAAACAAATACACAAAACCCTTATAAAGAAACACATCAATAACCCAACAAAAGGCAAAAACTTTAAGCAAAGAAACGCCTGAATTTCAGTATCAGTACAGTGAAACCAAAGGGGGAAAAGAAGTTAGTGATATTCATTAATGGGCAAAGGTACACTTCGATTAAACAAATAGGGGGCAAAGCAATTATGAAGTGATAAAAATTGAATCATCACATGAGTTTGTGTGCATAGTGAAAAGTTGGAAAAAATAAATAAATAAAAATAAAATGCAACAACCACCAATGAAACTCATGTGATATTGTGTACATTGATTTCAGTTCACTGTCTATTGTAGTACAGTACTATACTATCAAAAACCAAGCCAAAAAGAAAAACCATTTCTTTGTTTCCTTCTTTCAAAAAAACTCATCATGATATCAAGGAGCATATAAGAAAGGGGAAAGAGGCAATTCATCATCATTTAAGGCCAAAACTTATGCTTCAATTAAATGAAATCTTGAGGGGGGAAAACCCAAAAAGAAAAAAGGAAGGGAAAGACAGAAAGTAGTAAAAAAAAAAATTTGAAACAACAACCAATGAAGAAACATGTGATTAAGTGTGGCATTAATTTCAGTTTACCGTAAAGGTTGTCTGATTGTAATGGCAGGAGAATCTTCTAGATTTTCCCAACCACCATAATGGCTGTTCCCCGCTTCCCTCCGAGTATCCAAAGCTAGACCTCCACGAAGCAACCCATCTCCTCTTCCTCCTCCGCCGCCGCCACCGGAACAAAAACCTCCATTTTTTCCGTCGGAATCCCGCGGGAACGACAGGACCGCCGGCGAAGGCGGGATAAACGCGCTGGTGGTGCTACAACTCACGCTTTCCTGATCTTGATGAATCGGCCGCCTTTGCTGCGGCGGCGGCGGCTGAAGCGGGTGGAAAGGAGGAAACTGGTTGTTGCTGTTGTTATGAGCGAACTGGGAGAAACCCGGCGGCGTGGTGGCTACAGGAGGAAAACCCTGCTGGAAGGGAAACGGCGGCGGCTGCTGGAAGTAATGGTGGTAGTTAAATGAACCGGCGACGCCGTTGTTGAACTTCGGCTGCTGATGCTGCTGTTCTTGATGATGGTTTTCTTCCATCTTTTCCGATTCCTTATGTCTTTAAAAAAAAAAAAAAACTTTTTCAGGGTTGTACTTTTATTCGACTCAAGGTTTGATCATCATCCATAACAGAATTCCTGATGAAAGAGAAAAAAAAAAACAGTAGAAAAACAGAGTAACGATAAACCCTAATCAGAAGGAAGAAGGAGAGTTTTTGGTTGGTGATGTTTTTTTGTTAGAGAGAAAGGTGGGGAAAATGGTTTTCTTGAGATAGATATTTTTGTTGGTAGAGAATTCTAATTATCTAAAAAATTTAATTATCACTATAGTCCCCATAGAATACGTTAATTTTAAACAACATTGTCAATTCTCCCCCAATCTTTCGAGAAGTACCAAATTTTATAATGAAAAAAAAAAAGATACATAGTACACGTGCAATAGGGATTTTTTTTTGCTCCTAATTTATATATATTTCAATTTTAAAGCTATTTTAGTAAGGTTTTTTAAGATATATTGACTGATTTAATTGTTGGGAGGATGAAACGTTTGAAACTTTGAAGGGAGGTTTGCATAAAAGAAAGAAAACAACAAGTACACTATTAAACAGTTTTTGTTTTTCTTTCCCTTGGAACTCAACGCATTTTGTAACGTTAGGACTGCCAAATACGCTAAGAATTTGAACCCGTTTCATTTTTCTCTTGACTTTGAAATTTATTTGTGAAAAGTTTCCAAAGAATTCGTACAAACCAAAATAAAATGGAGTGCTATTGTGGTAAGATTATTTCGCCAACTTCTCTCTAATAAGATCTGTGTTTTTTTTTTTCACTGAAAAAAAAGGAGGATCTTAATTAATTGGTATAGTACCTCTAGAATTTAGGGGTGATTACTCATTCTTAATCAACCAGCATGTGAAGATACAGATTGCAGAAACTATAAATCAAAACACGAGAAGCAAATTAACGTATTTGGTTCCCAAGATGTGTACCTTTTATATGTGAAGATGTCACAGATAACTCGTGTTTGTTTTGTTTTTTAGTGTATGTTTTTAGGTGTCTTTTGTATTGAAAAAGTATATTGGGATGATACAGTTATTATTTTATTAATCTAAAAAAACTATAAAAAAAACTAAACAAACAAGCGTGCGAAGCTGAACTGCAAAAGTATGAACCAATGGTATTAAGGATTAACAACATTTATAAACCACGTTTTGCTATTAATGAGTAAGTAATTCGCTAATGAGGACTCTTAATCAATGCAAAAATCTTGTGTTCTCTTTATCATCAATAGACAATATTTAATGACAATCTATGTATTGTTTTCGTTGGATTTTTTCCTCAAAAATTTAAATCCACACCCTGAAGTGAGACTGTATTGAAGACGGCTCAAAACTTGTGCCGTGAATTTGATTTTAGGGTTTGTTAAATACAAGGAGTGTGATCTCAATCAACTCCCACAATTACGGTACAAATCTCTATCTAAGGTAAGTATATATTTTACAGTAATGACTAAACTATTTACACAAAATATATACCGTAATACCCCCCCTCAAGTTGGAGCATGAAGATTTCGAATGCCCAACTTGCCAAAAAAATAATCGAACTGCGGTTTGCCCAAGGCTTTTGTGAAAATATCAGCAAGTTGAACATGTGTGGAAACATAGCTGGGGAGAATAGTACCCTTCAAAACCTCATCCCGAACAAAATGACAATCAACCTCAATGTGTTTGGTGCGTTCATGAAAAACTGGATTGGCAGCAATATGTAAAGCAGCCTGACTATCGCAATAAAGACGAATAGGCTGAGGATGAGGAACACCAAGAAAATGTAATAAACCCTTTAACCACTTCACCTCACAAACAGTAGAGGCCATAGACCGATATTCCGCCTCAGCCGAAGAGCGAGAAACCGTCTGCTGTTTCTTTGTCTTCCACGAGATGGGCGAAGTGCCCAACTGAACAAACCAACCAGTGAGAGAACGACGAGTTAACGGACAGCTGGCCCAATCAGAATCACACCAACCAGATAATTGAAGATCCGAGTCAGCTCTTAAAAGGATACCCTGACCAGGGGTACCTTTGAGGAAGCGAACGACACGAAGAGCAGCCTCCCAATGAGCCTGCATAGGACGCTGCATAAACTGAGCAAGGGTGTGAACACAATAAGATAACTCAGGACGAGTAACAGCAAGATATATCAGGCGCCCCACCAAGCGCCGATACGACTCAGGATTCGAAAAGAGAGGCTCAGTAACCAAGGCGAGATTGTGATTCTGCTCCAACGGAAAGCCAGCAGGCTTGGCTCCTAGCAGACCTACCTCAGAAACAATGTCTAAAGCATACTTACGTTGACAGAGAAAAATGCCCGAAGCATTACGAGCAACTTCAATACCAAGGAAATATTTAAGAACCCCAAGATCCTTCATGTGAAAGCACCTGCTCAAGTAATCTTTAAGAGACTGTATAGCCAAACTATTATTCCCAGAAAGAATAAGGTCATCGACATAGACTAAAACAGTAAGCTGCGTAGTACCACGACGAAGCACAAACAGAGAGTAATCAGAAGCAGACTGCTGAAAGCCATACCGTCGCAAGGCACTAGCCAATTTGGCAAACCAACAACGAGGAGCCTATCGCAATCCATAAAGGGAGCGACGAAGACGACACACAGATCCGGGGTCGTGAGAGCGGAACCCAGGAGGCAACTTCATATATACTTCCTCATCCAAATCGCCATGCAAAAAGGCGTTATGAACATCCATCTGATGAAGTTCCCATCCCTTAGCAGCAGCCACAGTAAGTAAAGTACGGACTGTCACCATTTTGGCAACAGGAGCAAAAGTCTCGTTGTAATCAAGACCTTCAATCTGATTGTTGCCTAAGATGACCAGACGGGCTTTATACCGCTCGAGGGAGCCATCAGAATTATATTTAATCTTGAACACCCACTTGCAACCAATCGCCCGTTTGCCAGGAGGAAGGGAAGTAACAGTCCAAGTGTCATTCTGCTCTAAGGCCTGAATCTCATGTTGCATAGCAAGCTGCCACTTAGGATCTTTGATAGCTTCGGAGAAACTCCGAGGTTCACTGCCTGCAGTAACACTAGCCAAAAATGCGCGATGTTGTGGAGAAAAAGAAGTGCAAGAAACATAATTGTGTATAGGATAGGATGCACCTGAGGGAACTGAAGCAGCGGAAGTGAGAGGAGAGGGGCTTAGTGTGGTAACCGTGTGAGACGCAAAATCACGTAGACGCGTTGAACGCTGTTTGATGCGATGCCCACGGCCCAGTGGTTCTGCCTGTTGATCAGTAGGAGAGCCCCCCCTGGTAGGCGAGGGGGGAAGGATAGGAGCAGACACAGGTGCAGAAGTATCCGAAGAAGTCACCGGAACCGGAGCAGGAGCCGGAACCGGTGAAGACCCCTCAAGAGGATCAGAGATGTCATCATCCACAAAAATAGGCAAAGGCTCAGAAGAGGATGTTGGAGCTATATCCGAAGCCATAGAAACAGACGGAAACTCAGATTCCGAAAACACAACATCACGAGAAACGAAGAATTCGCCAGTGTCTAAATCATAAACACGCCAACCCTTTTTACCATAAGGGTAGCCCACAAACAAACATTTCCGACTACGACTGGAAAACTTATCGCCATTACGGTTCTGATGGTGCACATAACACAGACATCCAAAAACACGTAAATGAGACAGAGAAGGAGGCTGGCCGTATAAAAGCTCACAAGGGGTTTTGCCATTCAGCACAGTAGAGGGAGTACGATTAATCAAGTATCCCGCAGCGAGCACACATTCCCCCCAAAATTCAATAGGAAGGTGAGCTTGAAAGCGCAAAGCGCGAGCAACATTTAAAATATGCCTATGTTTTCGTTCAACACGACCATTTTGCTGGGGGGTCCCTACACAGGAGGTTTCATGGAAAATGCCATGCTGAAGAAAAAATTCAGTTAAGCACATAAACTCAGTCCCATTATCACTGCGAACATGTTTCACCAAGTGGCCATGCTGACGTTCAACCATAGCAATATAATTACGAAGCGTCAAAGAAACTTCCATTTTATCATGCAACAGATAAATCCACGTAGCACGAGAAAAATCATCAACCACAGTCAAAAAATAACGAGCGCCCGAAAAAGAAGGGACCCGATAGGGGCCCCACAAGTCACAGTGAATTAATTGAAAAAGGACAGATGTCTGAGTATTACTAATAGGAAATGAAGGGCGAGACTGCTTGGCCCGAAAACACACATCACAGGCTTTATTATGAAAGGTACTAATATCTTTGGAAGAGCCGACATTAGACAGCAACCCGAGAACCTTAGAAGACGGATGACCGAGACGCCGATGCCACAGCTCAATAGAAGGAACTCCAGTAGTTGTGGTAGCTGCGATAGGCCCCACATCACGGAAAAATAAAGCCCTCTCGTTGCTCACCCGCTCCAATCAGCATCCTCGAAGTGGGGTCCTGAATAACACAAACATTTGAAGTAAAGTGAGCAACAGAGGCAGTATCGCGCAACAACTGAGAAACAGAAATGAGATGGCACTTCAAACTCGGCACAAAGAGAACATGTTGCAAAGTGAGCGTAGCACTCAAAACCACGGTACCCGCCTTTGTAGCCATAGTAGAGGAACCATTCGGTAATTGAACCGAGATTCCGGGAATATCATATACAGATTTAAAACAGGTAAGAGTACCGGTCATATGACGGGATGCACCAGAATCAAACATCCAAATATCACAAACACGCTTACCAGACAACTGAGAACCCGAAGAGGGTTTAGCCGAATTGAGCAAAGAAAGAAGAGTCTGCCATTGGTCGGTACTTAAACCGGTGACAACCGGAGAGCTAGGACCAGCTGCAGCCGAGTCACCCGAATTGGGTAACAAAACCGAGTTAGCCGAGACAGAACCGGGAGCAAGGAGGCTACCCGAACCGGCACCAATGGAGGAAGAATTTCCGCGATCAGAGCCACCGGTACCGCCAACGCCGCGACCACGCCCACGACCGCCACCACGACCTCGAGACGGCCAACCTGCCGGATAACCAATCAAACGGTAACAAGTGGAGATGTCATGATTGGGACGATGACAGTGACTGCAAAACAGGGACGAAGCACCGGGTTGGCCACCATTGCCGGGAGGAATGGCACGTCCGGCAGACTTCGACTGGGCGGAAACCGCCATAGCCGCCGCAGCATCAGAACCAGACCGTCCCGGAGAAGCATGAACAGGCGCAGCAACCGCGAAGCTCATGTTTTCCGGCGGATTTTCGTTGGCGTGAGCAATCAGACGCAGCCGTTCTTCCCTGACAATAGCCGCATAAACTTTAC